TAATTTCTCGAGAAGATTTCTAATACTCGCCAGAATAATAGTATTATAACTTACTTACTTTTATAGTAATAAGAGAGTTCTAATAAGTAATAACGACGGCTTAAGAATCGAGTTAAATAATAGCAACTTCTTAAGATACTTATTAAAGGCTTTTTAAGTCTCGAGAAGTAGTTTAATAGATAAAAGAGGCTTTCTAAACTAAATAACTCAAAAAAGTACTTTTATAATAAGGTTTTTAATAAGGAATTTAGTGAAAAAATGAATAATAATAGATTATAGTCGGATAGGCTAAATAAAGATTCTAAAGATACACAAGAATAATAGTAAAGAAGATCCTACTTTAAGGCCATAAAAAGATTTAAGTAAAGACCTCCAAAGAATAAGGATGATTAGGTTTGTGTGGGTAGAAGAAGAATATAGATTCTATAAAGGAAGGATCCGAAGGATTCCCTAAGGATCCAGCTAAGGGAGTTATACTATATATGGCTAGCAAGAAAGAACGACCCCGCAGGAAGCGCCTTCCGACTTATCTACGCAATTACCTCCACCACCCCGAGCTCTTCTCGACAGCAGCCGACTAGGACGAATCCGAATCTGAAATCGTGGAGTTAGAAGCACCAGCAATCCTTGCCGCAGCCGCCTCTGACCCCGGTCCAGTGAATGGAGGACACCCCAACCCCTTATGCTCATCTAGCACCGCGGACATGAACCCAGCGACAAACGGCGCCACGGCAATCTGGTCTGCCTCAAACCTGATGACCAGCGCCGTCATCCGCTCGTTTTGTCCATTGTTCACATCGCACGGCTCTTTGTTGGGCGTGAATTCACGTTTGCCAAGCGAGACGGCGCCTGGGCATCCGATCTCTTGTCGTTCGTCGTCGATGGCTGTGTAATAGCCGGCTAGGTAAGGGGGAACGCTGATGTTGCTTGCCATGAGCTTGGACATCTCGGCGATTTGGCGGCTGATGCTTTTGCTGGAGCGGTCGCAAGCAACCTTGGCGCTTTTGGGACCGGTGGTACTGTGGGCTCCGGCTGCTGCTTGTCGTGCTTGGAGAGTGGCTGGAAGTGCTGATACTGAGACGGCGGCAGAAAGGAAGAGAGCGATGGAGGTGAGCTGCATCTTGAGGGGTTATGCTGGGATAGAGCTACCTGTGGTGGTTAGGGACCGGCACCACGTACTGCTGCAGGTTACCTACTGAGAAAATGTGCTATGGCTGAACCTCTGAAAGCGAATGAACTGCCGGACTGCTGGATTCAAGAGCCGAGACCTTTGACAAGTGTTTGGCGGGATCAGAGACCTTTTAGGAAGGAAGGACTGGAACAGTGTCATGACATCTGCGTATATTGAGTTTGATGGAGACCTTGAGCCTTCGGGATAAACAACCTCCGGAGTCTACTATAGAGAACAGGAAGCCCTGTCAAAACCACGATTCTGGCAGCCCATCACCATTGCTGGCGACGGACAACAGTTACACCTTGAAGCCTTGGCTTCTGAGAACTTAAACAAGTGGTAGATGTTCTTCGTCTTGACTTCGATTGTGAGAACCTAAAGGTGCCAGCGGCGCTCGAGGACCTGAATGAGTGACTTGGCGTTCGAGGTGTTTTTGCTGCATGCTGAAACCATGGTTCGGATCAGCCGCTAAGAGACGCCTCTTGGGCCAAAGAAGCCCCTTAAGGTCAAATTTCACAGCATGAATATGCCAAGCGAAGATGATGGCGGAATACGCAGGACCGTCAGTAGCGACAGGTAAAGTGTAGGTTTGTTCCGGAGTCTCCGGGTAAGAGTAGGCCATGATTCTCGGTGCGAGCTCAACGCCTTGAACCTTAGATCCCTTAAAGTCTACCATTGGCAAGGATGAGAGGCGCTTTCGTCGATACTCTCCACATATGTCAAATGTGAATAGATCTGCCATGGAACTGATTGACGCAACTGCTTTCACAGAGCCAGTGGTCAGATGGCTTGATGATTGGTTAAATAGACGTAAGGCTTTGTGTGGACATACTCGTATATATCCGGTAATGCCCGCTACATAATAATGCACAGTCTTAGATCTAATAAAACCGAGGGTAAGTTATGGGAGATACCCTCCGGAAACTCACCTTAAATTTATCCTCACATTATTACGCGGCGTAGGGCTTATAGAATTTAGATGGATTTTATTACACTATAATATAACGTTAATAATATAGCTTCGATTTAAAAGATTCTTAAAGCTTTAGAAATCTTATTCTATATTCTATAAATTTATTTTTAGTATTTTAATTTTACTATTATAAAAGAATAAATTACTGAAATCTTAAATATATAAGATTTTAAATCGTATATTATCGAATAGCGAGTATTATCGAATATAGTATAAAGTAATTTTTAAAGTCTCTTTATTAAAAGATAATATATTAATAAGAATTATAAGAAAGATAGATCTTATATAATAATCTAAATAAATAAGAGAGTTAGTTAAAAAAAAATCTTTATAATATATATTATAATACTCGATTTATAGTTTAAAATAGCGATATTAACGTTATTAATAAATTAATATTAAATATTAGAGATTAGAAGATAAGAAAATTATAATAATTTAATTAAACTAGAGAGTTAGTTAACGATTATTTTTTTATATCTCTATAATATATAATTTATATTATAATTAATAGTAGATAAAGTAATTATAGCTATTAATAACTATAATAAATATAATAAATAATATACGCTAAGAGCTTAGGCTACTTAAGATAGTAGTATAAGTATTTAATATAGCTCTAGCTCTAGTCTCACTCTCGCGAAATAACCTTATATTGAAATAGCGTTAAGTTTTAAGTGGCCTTTAGGCTAGATATAGTCTCGAACGTTATGATAGATACCTTAAATTGTGGTGAGGCTCTGGATTATGGTTTTGCGAAAATTAACACATCTGTCGAAATTTGGTCCCCACGCTTCCCAGCCACCGTGTTTCTCAGCCACCCAATTTTGTACTCTATGTAAGACCTGGCCCCGGAGAGGTCTGGAGAAACCAATCCAACTGTTCTACACACCGCACACCTGATATTCTAACAAAATCACCAGACCCCCTGGTCCAAATAGGTTGCCGTAGAAATACTTCGCCGCGAGAAAAGCGTACGCGGGTGACAGAGATACCTGCACACCTTGAAATTAAGTAGAAATTTGATCATGATTTCACAACGCAGAACCCTAGCAGAAAGGTTTTGCGTTGTGATTCAAAGATTTCGATAACACTCATATACCGTTTCGCAAAATCCAATTCATAAAGAGGGTATTCGTTGAGTTATTCCAGCCGACAAGGTAAAGGGATTTATTGCTGTGTGCAGGTATTTCTGTCACCCGCGTGAAGCGGTCGAGGGGTGCAGTAAATATTTTTTTTAAACGCGATCAAAACACCATCTTTATCGGTGTCATAAGAACATCACCTCTACTGAGACTTTGTAATCAAGTCTATAGGATGGATATGGCACCGTCAGAAGTCCTGGCCCTTGTAGCTTTCCGGCGATGTGCCGGAGGGCGTGACGGCATACGCGCTGGTTGACCATGACCGTGCTTTCAGTCTCCTCACCTCGCTCACCCTCGGGTTTCTCCCTCATTGTTGGCGTCCTTGCTGCGCCGTGCACTGATCTGCAAACCAAAAGCGACATGCCAGTTGGATGACTGGTTATGGTGGAGCTGTGACACAACTAGCTCCTTATTGATAAGAGGGACGAAGATAACGACTCGAAGGGTGCCGGTGATGTTGAATTGGACAATTATTCCGATCAAATCTCAAGGATCTGGCTGAGGTAAGATTATGCTAATCGTACCCAGGTAGCGCCGTTTCCCGTGTGCGGCGAAGACCAACATTTCATCTATTCCGAGGAGGCTTCGTCGTATCTTCGAATTCTGCCACTGGGTCTGCCTCATCCCTCTCGTTACCGTCCTTTTCAAATGCGACAGAATGACGCAATCTCGTGCCACGATGTCACAGGGCTTAAATTGTTGGTTATCGCCGCCATGCTTGAGTTTTGTACTAACCAGGCCCAGGACCAAGGCTCATCTAGTGCTATGGCTGAAACGAATATTTCACCGACCTTCCATACATCGACTCTTTGACCGCCGGGGGCACTGGACATGGCATCAGTTACGGATGACTTTTTGCCGGTAGCTCCCGTGGTTGAGTGGCAGTTAGCTGTTAGCACCACCCTAGTTCCAGGGCCAGCACCGCCCAGTCCTTCACGACAAGCCGTGAAGACTGCCGACTGCCGCTCCCAGAACAGATCCTGAAATGAAATCGATCGAGACCATAGTCACCACTGGACGAGTTGAAGTATCCCTCGACTGTTCTGCTCGGACATTGCCTCGTCAATCATGAAAAGTGGCAGCTATCCAAGCTCTTGATAGGAATAAAAGCATCATTGATTATGATCTTCCTTTCACGGGCCGAACGCGACTCAATCCAACCCATAGACGCCGGTTCTGGCGTCATTCATGTTCCATAGCTTGCAAGCGTGGGGTAATCTTGTTGTGTTTTGGTGTACCAACTTCCCGGGCACGTTCTCAGTGTTCAAGCTCACCCTGACACTGCGCGGGATGTCGGATTTGAGGGTAATCGGCTTGCCAGCAGGGCAGTGCTTCGGTACGATTATGCTTAATTGCTATCGCAGGTCCGGCTCGTATTCTGCTTGTGCTCTATATTTGCTCCACTCTAACAGTTAGCTTGTTTGGTGTTCATGGCCTCGAATGCAGTCAAATGTGATTGGAGGTCTTGCGTCGCTGGAAAGAAACAACGATAGGACCCTCAGATCCTGCAGTGTCTTTCCCAAGAAGTATTGCAGATTTCGAGTTGATTATTATATGCGCCCAACGCCCAGTTCTCTCTGTTTCTAGTAGCATCCTTCTCTCTCTCCTCGTCGTTTCCCTGACTGCCAATTCACCGAAGCAAGCATGATAGCTTCGATCGCCGGTATTCTCTTCACCCTCTTTGTGAACTTTAGTGCAGCAGTACCTCAAAATGTCCTTTGCGAAGATCCGCAAGGCCGCGAAAGACCAGATGGCCATATTTATTGGAGCACTTCAGATTGTGCTGGAAGCCCTGAGCAGACTTCACAGTCTTTTACCAGCTCTGTCTCAACAATGACACTCTCGGTCTCCACTTTGATCTGCACAGCAGAGTAAGTATCCGTGCTCCCGGGTTGAATAGATCGTTCTTTATGCTGACTTTCCAGTGCAAACACCGCTTCGCTTGTTCCCTCAGCACATGCCAAACCAGACCCTACCGTATGCAGCTGCGACAACGGCCAATATTACTCGACACTTTCAAAAACTGGATCTCTCTGTGCCTACACTACAAGTAACCCATTCGTGCTATTGCCACCAGATGCTGGTCCTTGGACTTTCGCCCCCGCGGACCTGGAACCTTCTACATGCACTGCTACTGTATTTCCAGTGTCCACGACGAACCTTATGCCTACAGGCGAGTTTGTAGTCGAGGTAAGTTGTACTATAACCTCAAGTAGAAAGGAGATCGCTGACCATTTATCAAGTCAGACTGGGAGGGTAGCAACACCTGGCTATTTTCTGCAGACGTAGGCATGAATCTATCGTCTCTTGGATACGGTGAATTTTCGCAGTCGCCGTTCACGCGCAATGCAAATGGAAGCTATACCTTGAGCATCCCGTCGGACGGAGGTATATTTTCCCACGGCTCATTCGTTACTCCTGTAACTAATGTTTTCAGGTGGTCAGTCTGTCACAGGGCTTGCCAGTGGTACGCCTGCAAACGCGGCGGAGGCCTACGCCCACGAATTTGCGCTTACTCTTTCGACAACATTAACTTGTGACATACCATTGCCACTACCTTGTCAGTCGAATGATAACAGATTGGACAGCTCCCAGTGGGACGCATTCAAAGTAAGTCTGATATTGTTCTTTCGCACATTCGCTGTTCCTCAACGCTGCCTTGTTTCCAAGCTCATCTGTTCGTTGTTAGACAGACAAATGGTGGGAATCTTACGTCTCAAATTACGCTTCGGCAAATTACACTTCGGTGGGCGGAAGGACGCTGTTCGAAGAACTAGTCTACGACTACATTGGCCCCATTGATCAATATTACTGCACGATTGGAAATGCGCAACTGAATGCAGACGGTTCTTTGGACGTGGGCTCCTGCATTTATCCATCATGTGTCGACGTCCATACAGATCTCTCCTCAAAAGACGGTTTCAGGCAAGGATACATGGTACTGGCCGACTGGGAAGGTAGCTATCTCTAGGTCTGTGGAGCAGAATGCCTTCAGGCTTACATCGTATCCACAGGGTTAAGTCACTTCTTGAATTACTGCTGGGATGTTTTGGATCAAGCACAGAACGGGTTTGACGACGTCATTACGGCGATCTTCCTTGTGAGTTCTCTCATGCGTGCCGCTTCCGGTCGAAGCAACGGTGGAGATTTTGACCGTTTTCCAGATTTTTTAGAGACCCTGCTAAGGCGAGCTGGCAGACCTTACTGCCTGTGACTGTAAGTGTTCTACCATGAGCTCCCGTACTCTTCAACTGGTTCTCATACTGCCAGGGGACGGTCTTTACTCTAATGTGTGTTGTTTTGCTCTTCATACAACCGTTCTGGGGAGGTGCCCTTATAGCCACAGCTGCAAATGTATGCGGAATATGTGGCCTTTTGGGTGCGCAGCTTAACTAAACGAACGGCAGGCTGTCTATGCCATTGGCGCCTCGCTAAATGGGATTGCCAATATTAAGAATCTTGGCACCCCGAATACAGCTGTGTTAGAGTGGGAAGGGTAGGCAGAGTCCTCCATCTGGATGAGTTTATCGTAAAGCTAAGCACTACTCGCGAAATCTAGAGCCACCGACACCCAGAACAACTGGCGAAATTATACGGGTAATATGAAGACCGGGCTTTCCCGTCTTCATGACTCCTACTTTCTCAATGCGAACCATACAGCGCCTGTCAATATCTCGACAGTCTTGCAAGGAGGGTTCTACCTGCCGGTAACGCCTACCGTGGACCAAACATCGGTTATACCTAGCGACAACGTAACCGCGTGGTTAGAGTCGTATGCTTGTGCTCGTTTGATCAATCAGCTATTTGACCAGAACGATTACTACATTGTCTACGTAAGTGCAATATCCTACACAGAAGTGAATACTCAGGAACTGACCCTTGTAGATTCCGTACGGTGAGCTAGAACATGGCCTTGAAACGGAGACACCCGATGACTGATAAGGCTAGGCTCCATGGTCAATGACGTCCCTGGCGGTGGATCCAGAGGCAATTTCTCCTTCGAGAAGTCGGATTGCGAACAATGGGTTGGGAATTCAAAGTTCAACAACAGTGTCTATGCTACTTGCAATACCGTAGACGGCATCGGTCCTGGAATGACAGTCATGGAGGGGTCAGTGCCTAACTCATTGTATCTTCCCCTGACTCGGATTCTGACGCTTAGCGACGACTATAGGATGCAGGACGCTGTCTTAGATTTCACGACTTACAACTACAAAACCGCCTTCACGCAGACGTTCACCGATGGCATCTTCACGTACAACCCTGAAGATGTCATCCAGTCTAGCGTTGCTGGCTGGTTGGACTATGGGTACAAGTAAGATCGTGCCCAGGCAGACCCACATTTGACAAGCTTACTTACACCCTACCTGCCAGCTACACCCTGGTCAATCAAAATTATGGCTTCTCCCCTGACGCTCTTGACTCCGTCGAAAACTTCAGAGAGCAACTCCTCGCTGTTGCTAACATTAGATCAAACTCGGAAGGCGTTTACAACCTACCCGTCTGCGTGCTCAATGAGCTCGATTCCATGCCAGAGTGTTTCAAGGCCGTGCCGGAAAATGATAACGATGGCGCCAAGACTCCGCTTACGTTGGATGAGTTAAACTATTGCTATATCCATCCGATCAATTGTTTAGGTGGTAAGTGCATTCTTTGAAACGTTGATCCCTCTCGAGAGTGGGGATTCCTCAGAATCGAATTGACCACACGCAATAGACCAATCCGGTATTCTGCCATCCAAAAACGCAACGTACGGCTTTCAACATTTCCGAGACTATATTTCCGATAGGCTGAGAGACAACCTGAACCAAAACGATATGTCAGATATAGGTGATTTGTTTACTCCACCATAGTAACGGCAAGGCTACTAGAGATCTGAGATCCCTAAAAGGCATTGATGAGATGGATACCCGATTGAATTATGATTTAGACTATGTTTTGGTAATTTCAAACACGCTCGTGTTGCTGAGATCATTTTTCACCTTTCATCAAGATTCTCGTTTAAAGAGCAGTTTCCTTTATAAGCTTCTCAAAACAGGAATAAGTAGCTAGTCAGCATGGACGCGAAAGCTTGCCATTACCAGCAATTCAATGGTACCCGTTGGGCCATTTCTGCAATCCAGACTCATTGTGATCTTGAGCATTCAACTTTTCAAGGTCAAACAGATTGATGCTGCGCTACAGAACTGTGTCGTTAACTTGGACAAGCTTGTTTCGCTGTTGCATCGTATCCAGATGTTTGCGCTATATCTTGCGAGCCCTGCAATGGGCGTGCTGTATAATTTGAGACACAGCGCAGGGGAATCGATCTTTTGCGCAGGGGTGCGAATGGCGAGTCTTCATATCCTCAAACCCTCGTTCTTTCTCGAACATGAACCATTTCTGGTAAATAGCCATGTCCCATGCAATACCATTGTTGGACGGCGGCCCAGTCTCACGACATTCGGCGGCAATGTTGCCGGCCATATCCTAGATCTCTTCCAGGCTTATGTGAGCAGTGGTGGCGGGTGTGACGAGGGGTTTTTGGATGCTGTGATGCCTGCTTTCCATGGTAAGGGTTAGATAGTAGGCATACAGGGAACTCGGGAGATAGGGTTTCCTCCGACAGGTAAGCCATTTGAAAGAAATTGCTAAATTTTGTGGCGCGAGCCTGGAAACATGTCGCATCATTCACCGCTTTCCCATATCGTCCTGGGCTCGGGCTATCCATACCGACACCAGGTGAAAGCCGAGAACGTTGGGGCTACCGTTGTGCTGGCCGTGGCATCGATAGCGCAGCGCGTTGACGCCAGGGATGTCGAGAGATGCAGTGGTACTACCTATTACACATAGTGATTCGATCGCCGGTTGTTGCGTTATCATAACGGCCGATGGTAATGCCTAACCTGATAGGCGTACGAGAGTAATTAATGGCTTTACAAAAGACCTTTTTCTATGCATCATCGTCCCGCAATCCCCGGGCATTTTCCGTCCGATCTATCCATTGGGGTCTTTTGGCGGTTCCTCAAAGTGACAACCGCCAACTTCTCGACCTTGCAAGAACGGTAGGAGGATCGACAACGCCACAGCCCTCACTAACAAGTGGAGTTTCGTCTTTCCGCTTAATCGTGTGCAGGTTGCTAACTCAGATGCGAGGATCTAGATGCAGAGAAAAAGCAGATGACGATGTCGGGATGGTTGAGAAGCGAGACCATTTGTAGTCAAGCGGAGTGTTGGTCTGAAAGACAAAGTGTAGGCATCTGTTATCAATATTAGAGATTCATGTTCACTATCCTGCTAGCTGGCCAACCATTCTTTCGCATGAATGAGTTGTCCAAAGTTGAAATACAATGCATGCTCGTCATCCCTCCGACCTTTAGATCAGGAGATCTACCTATCCTAGCACCGCTCTATACGCGAAATCCACGACGACCTTCCCTATCCACAGCACGACCCCCAGTATGGCAGCGGCGATAGAATTCCCACGCTTCAATTGCTTCGAGTCCAAGTAGTTCGTTCGCTCTTCTGTCTACAGCATGGATTCTGCTTCCAAATTGTGGACCGTGCCCGTCACGTTCATGTTCATCGGGTCTGACTCGTACGAACTCAAAGGCGTGCTATTACTTGTCAGACCACACACTCATTATAACAGATAGACATATTTCCGAAATATAGAATTATGGTACGTACACACATCTCATGTAGCATTGTAGAGAATATAGCCCTGAAGAGACTGACAGCAGCATTTGGATTTGAGAAGATACCTCTGGCATTGAGAAAGATATCTACGCGCCCAGGCTGCGTGTGGATTGTGATGCCGTAGTTGTCGCGAAGGGCTTCCTCTAACATTGCCAACTCGTGGGCACTTCCCCAACCAACGCGAACGTTCCCTTGGAGTACGCCCCCGAAGAAGACGATGTCGAGATCACAGAAGCATTTGATGATCAGATCCGGACCCCAAGGGCCCGACTCAGCCTCGTCCAAAGCACGTGCGAGGCATCTGATGGCGTCTTGCTCGCAGGATGAAGGCGATCTTCTTTGATCGTTGTGCTCGATGATCTCTCGGCTTGCCCGGCTAGCACTCACGAATGGACGTTCATTGTGATGAGAAAATTGCTCGGTGGCATTGATATCTCTCTGGCTGCATGGATATGGTGTCCCTCGTTGTGCATAAATGCTTAATAAAGACGCGTGATATAGCCGCTCTCGAGCACTGGAAGACATCTTAAGTTACCTCTTTGGCGTGACTGAGAGGTAGAAATATTTTGAGCTTGAAGAAGATGCATGGAATTTGAAAGCGGTGAACTTTGGGGATAAACCCCGAGTAAGGATGGGGATTTCTTTATAAAAGAAAGGAGCAATCAGTATTTGACGCTCTCTACAACTCTTCCCCACAATTCAGGCATCACATCGTTTCGGTGGCGCTAAAGGCCTGGGTCGCGAGGGTGGCAAGTCATTCCGTCGATTGGACTGATCGCTTGTGAACACTGATGGTAACACAATCTCTGGAAGATTAATTTACACATCACATTGCTTCGGTCTCGTCGTTAGCGGACAGCACAATTTGGAATCACAAGTCACTCCGCTGATAAGACTCCAGTGAACCTTCCTAGCATGAAGACGCACAGATCGAAAAGACAAGTGCAAAAGTGTTATGAGGAGGAATTGGCGAGTGACAAAGAAGTGTTATTGCTGCAATGCCTGACGGGAAACGATCAGTAACAAACCCCTCATGGCATCATGAATCTTGAACAATGTCTTATATAGACCCGAAATAGTCAAAGTATCAGCAACGGCAACGTGGCCTATCTCTAAAAGATGATGATTTGCCATGTCCAAACGTCGAGACCTCTCATTCATGATGTTAGCGACCCCAGAGTTATTGCCTTCGAAAAGCTTCGAAATAGGCCAACACGAGTTGCTGACTCGCATGGGACCGGATTTTGTTTGGCAAATCTCCTCGGTACCGCGATACGAAGGTATAGCCTAGCCTGGAATACATCGAGCCTTAGTAGCTCCTCTCAAAGTAAGGAGCAGCAATCAAATCTCAACTAAGTTGTCGACAAGCCTACTGTTGAACCGAAGCAAAGGTGTTGGAGAGGGGCGCATTCTTAACAACAATTTCATAATGCTTGAGCTCACGTTGGTGATGGCATGATAAGGACAATTCAGATTTCACCCTGTGGCATGGCTACAATGCTTGATCTTTGGGCCAGAAGCCCAACATTCTCTCGCAATTATCTAGTGACATGGCTTCTTCAGGGCAACGCAATACAAGGTTGCAGTCGTACCGAGCACAAGATCAAGAGAACAGGCAGTGCCCTTCGCCTATGTCCATACTCCTCCGCAGTGCAAGGCTGCCAACTGACAACTAGGCGGATTTCAGAAGGTAATGTCTCACTGGGATGTGGAGGTCTTGCATTGCGCCAGCCGGGAAGGCTGCGCCGGTCGCTGTGGTCTCCCAAGATCCGGAGAGTGCAGCTTCTTAACCCGATTATCTCTATCTCAATCTCCAGAAATGGTGGTTGCACGACCACTGGAATCCAGTGCCAGAAAACTCAGGACACCCTGGGCGCGGGTTCGCATTCTGCCAGATAAGGTAGCTTTCCCAGCCGCTTCTTTCATGCTTGCAGGTCGCTTCTTGATACCACATGCTTGTGCCCGTGAGGCACGTTTGGTCTTGTTCACTCCCGGGGCCGAGGTATTTCTGCCGCGGCCACGTCTCGATCGTTGGGTGGTAGTTTCAGCTGCTAAATGGCTTCGGCTTTCAGAAAGGTCGGTGGTCGGTCCTATTGGGAGACTAGCATGGAAATTGTCGACTTTTGTAGTAATTCTTGGTGGTTCCTGCTTTGGGTTGCGCCCCGCAGCGCTTTCCTCCCGGTTTTTGTGTCGGTTCGGCTCGCCATGACGCTCGAAATCCCGCGAAGCTTCAGCATTCTCCTCCGCACTAAAGTCTGGAGTCAACGATACGGTCCTGAGGGGGGGTGGATGGTTCTTATTTTGGTCGTAGTCGCCGTGATATATTGTCTCATCCACCTCTTCTATATCGATCATGCGTTGAACGGTTTCGTCTCTTTTGACCCATTGCGGCAAGCGCAGAATCCTATCCTGAGATGGAATACCCCAAACATGTTCCAGCCACCTATCAGGGATACGATTTGAAGTGTCACTCTCTTGGATGCGGACGTTCAGTTCAGGAGGATGTAGGGATTGAAGGAAGTGGAAGTCAGAGGGATCATCGCCCTGGGATTTGTAGTTGAGAAGCTTCTGTGGGCAAAAGCAGGGGTGGAGGTGCTCTATGCAGTTGTCAGCCAGTGAAGGAGTGGTGAGTAAAATGTCACCAACCCTCGCAGTCACAGGGTACGGGCTTGGGCTTCACGCTCCTCTGGTACTGCAGCTCCGCCGCAATCCTTTGATCCTCTGTTATGACGGGGGGCGGAGGGGAATGCCCATGTTCCTTGACATATTCTTTCAACCATTTACGTCTCTCCTCCACATCATGGCTCTCCTTCTCCTTCCAAGAGGAAAAACCTAGAGCTTCCACCTTTCTCTGGCTCTCGGCGCGCACTTGGGCCATGCTTTCTCGAAGACTGCGATAGAAGTCATCATCGGGGTATTGCTCAAGCTTCTCTTCGAAGCTCCGTTGCGGCAATGGTGTTGAAGGTGTGGGGGGATGGAAGCCTTCTGGCCAGTCAGCAAATAGGTCTTCGGGAAACATTGGCTCGTCCGTCTGTGACGGCTTTGCATCTTCGCTCCTTGAGGCATCGTGGTCGTTCGGAGGTGGCATTTCGCAAGAAAGGCTGTTCAGTCGATTAATGTGAGTCTATGCATTGCGAGAAGAAAGGAGAAGGAGTGCAGGGTTCCAAGAGTTGAAAGAGCGAAGAGTGTAAGATTGATGCCAAGGGCGGGTAGCGGAGATCTTCACGTGACTTGGTGTGATTACTTAAGAATACTTTTACCCCGCGGGAGGCTTCGCATCAGAGTCTTCTCTCTATCTACAATATTCCTTCTACTATTCTTTTTCTCTTCAACTCTAAGAACTCATACTTGTAGCCAAAGACAGTATGCCTTCCACTATCGTGGGACCCGCATCATCATTTCAAACCTCATACTACTACTATGCTTCACTTCTCAACAACAATAGGCTTCTTCCCAGCCTTCTGCTTGTCGCCTAATTCTTATCAATCTACCGTCTACGCCTCCTCTCATCACCCATATCACATATGATTTGCAGCAGTAGTGCTCCGAAGTTCAGACTACATGATGCTCTGCCTTCTGTACATATATATTTGGCTACACGGGCACTTGAGCTTCATTTGCTGGGCTTAACACATGCGGCCGCATGATATCACGCCTAGCGTGGCTTGGCATCCCTACATAAATTACCTGTCTGTAACACCATCATCCCTCCATAGCTTGTGTTCTGTTCCTGCTGAACACACCTCATTCAATCCCATTTTGATCCCATTTCACTCCCATTTCACTCCAGATATTCATCTAGTCCACTCTACGATAAAATCCTCTTCGCGCCTCGAGTGATACATTATCGTTTGTATGACTTTGGTGATACTAGTCACCGAGTAGCTGTACCATGGCCGACCCGGCCAGTCTATCTGAAGTGGACACCGTGCCCGTTATACCGGCCTCATGGACGCAAAATTCTAACACGGACAATGTCTTTGGTTGGCTGAGGCCTATGAATGAATTTGCGCGTAATGCGTTTCACCTTGTTGTGGACGACATGATTCACAATCCAGACACCCACCTACATGAGCGCCAGTTCATCCATTTGGACGGCAAAGAGACTGTCAGATCTGTAAGCGTTTCTGGTTCAGACGATCAAGCCGATCAAGAAGAGCCAGATCAAGTACAATTTGTTGGAGCTTTCAAGTTCAGCACTTCGGTACATCCGAAAAACCTAGCCAAGGGATGGTTCATCGGCACCGGGCGTGGAAAACCAGAGGTAGATGTTGTGATTGGGCCACCCGATTCGAAATGGTACAGCAATAAGATCCTGGGAAATCATGCACGACTCTACATTCACAAGGAGTCATGTCAGACCACGGTGGAAGCTCTTCACAGTATGGAGGTCAGTGGGTCAACAGGATTCAAGCACATTGATCAAAGGATGAGTGCTTCTTCCAAGGTTCTCGAAGACGGGCATCTGGTTGAATTCGGGCGATGCATGTACCTCTTTCATCGTGGAGACGCCATTGCAAATGGCAAATTTGAGAAAAGCCTCTCTGGATTCATGAAATATCATCACGGTGATCAGTGGAAGGCTCACCCAATACTCTCAGCACCGTCGACGGGTTCTCATCTGACCTTTGACGGGTATACCTTCTTACCTGGAGCCTTTGCCGGAGGAACATTTGGTGAAGTGACCGCGGGTTGGGCACAAGATGGCTCGGCTGTTGCAATAAAAAGATTCAAACGGCCGAATGGAAAGCAGCTCAGTCAACATCTAAAGATTATGGACCTTATTGGTAAACATGTAAGTCTTTCCAGGAAGGGAGAGAAGCGGCTGAAGCGACAATGCTCTAACATTGAGAAAGACAAATATCTTGGAACTCATCCATTCAACCAGCAACCTCGAGCCAGCATTCCCAGCTATATATTGCGTGTACAGCCCTTTGGCTCTGGCTAGCCTTGAAGACGTGGTCATTTCCAATAAAATCAACCTCCCTGCTCAATTTGCATTACTCTGCGACTACTTGCGGGGTCTGGTATATCTACACGAAACCAAGGGGATAATGCATCGGGACATCAAACCCAGCAACCTCGGTGTTCTTTCCTTCAGCCCTCCTAGGGGAATCATCTTGGACTTGGACGCAGCCACGACAGAGGAAAAATCAGATGACCACGGTCAAGGAACATACTCCTATCTCGCGCCCGAGATCATAAATCTGAAGATGGGGTCTACGGTCGAGCAGAAAAGATATGGAAGCTCAGTAGACGTATGGGCCTTGGGTATGAGCGCCTTCCGCGCCTTGAGAGGGCAACATGTCAATTGGAATGATTATGATGATATGTGGACAAGAGGTCGAAAGTTGCCGGGGACAGAGATTACCGACTTTGTCCTGGAGGGCAGGCTAAAAAGGTTCCATGACGGTTTTGAGCAAAGGGTCATCACGCTCGGGGGGTATTTGAAATATTTCACGCTTCTCCAAGGGATGACTATGTGGGATCCTAATGACCGGCTTTCCGCGTCTTTGGCACTGAGGGACGCCGGAAATCTTGCAGCAACACTGGGAAGAGCGACCATACTTCCAAGGCCTAGTACTCAGGGTACCAAGCGTAAGATCGGCGAGGATTGACGGCGATCTGGGAGCCTGGGCTGAGAGGAGCACAAAGGGGCCAATTATCTGGTCAAATACGGCTTCACATACGAGACAGAACTAGCCTTTTTACCCTCTGTCTTGCTTTTGAAATGTTGCTTGACTCCCTCAATCGCCTCTCTTTCACGAACATTGCCTCAGTTCTCAGTGTTGGCGGACATTCTTACCGGAGGCGTAGAGGCACTATCAGACTAGAATACATGTAAAAAATGCATGCTGGTTGGCATGCACCGAGACCATAGGCGTAGATGTGATGAAGAATATACCCAACGGACCCTTCCACATTGGCTCGTCGTCAGTATCAGTTCGAGTGGCCCTGGGATCTCGCTAAGCTTTCTCTGTCAGCTCCGAGAGTTGAACCGAAGTGAGCATGTGTAAAGATCATTGAAGACACGCTTCCTCTCGTGCTTTGGACCTCTGGGTCCGAAATAACTATGAGCGCCTATATCCGCTTTCATGATTACTGTACTCTCCGGGCATCCAACCTATTGCGGGCGGAGCTGTCTTGATTTATCAGCTGAGGATACCGCCTTTCGCTACTACCTCACGCTTCCCTGTTCACGACGTTTCTGCAAAGAGCCATGATTGATATCTTAATCACAGATTACGACTAAACCCAGAACTATGGACCGCCCCCCTCGCTCCGTCTGCTGCATAAGCCCCGCAGCCAACCTTTAGTCTCGAGTCCACCGAGAGTCCACAATCTCCCCCCTCTTCCCTTCCCACCACTGGCCGCGACCACACCCCATCTTTCCCAATTCGAAAGCTCCAAGACGTCAATCCAGTCTTCGAAGTTCCTAACCGATAAGTTCCCTCGCGAACACGACGACCTCCGCATCTCTATCCCCGAACACTATAATACTCCACAACAGCAGCGGGCGGACGAGTCTTATAATTCGTCACTCGACATCATTAGAAGCTCAAATACATCGACCAATATACTCTCTGCGACGGACTGCCAGACTGCCACCTGCGTTCCAGGGTCTCGTAGCCGGCTGTTAGTAATTACGACAGCGATAACGCGATGGTTGTGGGGCCCTAGAGACACGAGGCGTGCTTGCTCGTCGAAGCTTGTGCTATCCGCTTTTCTAAGCATCCAATCTATGCTCTTACAAATGGTATTAAGCTATCCCAGAGTCCATCTTCCTAAGTTGCAGGCAACGTCCCGCGCTAAATCTAAGTACTGTGTATGTTGCCGGAGGCAGGCAAAAGTCCGGATGCGCGGTTTGATTCTCAAGTCTTCTTCTTAAATTACATAGATGGAAGTGGCTGACTTCCGGTCTCTGTGGATATTTGATCGAGCTCTGATGAACCTGGCCGATAAATTGTCCTCTCGTAGCAAGCTTATTCTAAAGGCCGTTCATCCCTCAAGCCTCATTCCCTACTTCTGTGACTACTACCCACTGATTGGGGAATTGTGCTAGTTCGCCGCAGAGGCAGACGCCAGTATAGATTATCAAATGAACCTTTTCCTCAAGGTTCCCGTCTTTCTCTCCTGTAGAAATGCTTCACTATAGAATTACTACGTCAATACGGAATCTCAAACTTCGCCCTCACTGATAGCAGCCCTATTCCTGCCCTTGACACTGCGATCCAGAGCTCCTGTAGCGTCAACGTGGCCGACACCAACGGCCTTTTCACCCTTGTTCTCCAGCATGTTCATCGATTCCTCAGTGGCGTTCAGATGCTTGAAACACACCCAGAAGAGCCCAGCGGCGATGAGAGTAGCGATGCAAAGGCCAGTATACATCCACACCAACCTCGGATCCTTCGCGATCGGTGCCAGTGCCATTCCAAGTGCAGATCCGAACGCGGACTGCAGGAGGAAGATGGACATGACGAACGACTTCATGGATGGCGGCGCTTTCGTGAAAGCGTACTCTAGTCCAGTGACGCTCGCCAAGATTTCCGATACGGCCATGAAGAAGTACGCTGGCGTTTGCACCGCTATATGGACCTCATTGGGCAAGTGGGAAGTGTCGCACGCAAGAGGGGCGTTGTAGCATGGTGGGGATGAGTAGATCAAATGCTGCACAATGGCTGCATATGCCATGGCGAGTGCACCGAAGACGAAGCCCCATGTAATACGAGTGATCGGTCGGAACGGTATACCAATCTTGCGAAGGCCGGGATAGAGAAGGCGATCGAAGATGGGAATAAGAAAGATGATAGTAAGAGGGTCGATATTCTGCATGAAGTCATTGGGAATGCCATGGAGTTGCATGGTACCAGCTGTTATCAATGTCAACGAGGTCCTTTGCTTCATCGATGGACTGATGATGGCAGTACTCACCTTGTGAGATAAAATTGTTCAACATTTGCGAGTAGGCGACCCAGTATATTGGGTAAAAAAGGAAGACGCGACATGCGGCGAGCCCACGTTGGAGCTCAACTATGTAAACATCGTCCCATGACGTTTTGTACTTGCGTCCGCGCTCATCTTGGTAGGAGGGCTTCGCGGCGTCTGCAACGTTATCAGCATCGAACAAGAAAAGGGATGCTGACGCGGCAGCAGCGGTCGACTTACCCATGTTGCCCCCGTTTCTCAAGCCAATCCACATCGCCCTGAACGCATCTATAATTATCGAACCCTTGGGAGGATGGACTACGTAGTATCTCTCCCCTGCGATCAAAATGGCAATTCCAAGAACAAAGAAGCATAGACAGAGAAGATACGCCGTCCAAAATCCTGTCGATTGTTCCATTTCTGTGGTGGCAATTGGGGACAGACAGCCCAGGTTGACGCACAGATAGAAGATCTTGAATTTGGTTTTAGCATATGGTAAGGTTGGAAATCGCGTAGGGGACCCACCATGTAAATACGCTGAATGGTGATTGCAGGATCGACGATTACCCTCTCACCACTCTTCAAGACCCGAATAGTCATCTTGGTTTGGCGGTACTGTTCTGCGACCAAAGGACTAACGTTCGACTTAATGCCGCCGGTACCTAACCCAATAACTGCCTACCAGTGGCATCTAACATCAGCGTTCGTTGCGGAGAGCCACCGTGCGAGGACTTTTACCATAGCTGCAATTAAGCCACCCAAAGCTGCGCCATGCTCGATTGCCGAGGGTAGGGAGGTGCAGAACAGTATGAAGATGCCAGCCAGATAGATGAAGGCAGAGTACAGGATTGTCTTGTATTTGCCGAGGTACTGATCGGAAACGATGGCACCAAGAATTGGTGTCCCCTGAAAGACGGTCAGTATCAACCGACTTTGCAGTCTGAGAGAATTTTATTGAGACCGTACATAGCACCAGAACTGGAAGACTGAGAAACGTTCCGTTAGCCACGTCCCATACAGCATCGGCCATGTAGCACTTACAATTCGTCAGCCCTGTCGCCCCAGTTTGGCCCAAGCCTGTCAGTATTTAGCTGCTGAATCCCCTAGTACGGTGATCGCCTAGAAAGCTGTACCGATAGCTCCACGAACAGGTGTATCGTGAGGGTCATACTGAATGTAGTTTTGGAATGGGCCGGAGAGACCGTAGTAGGTGAATCGTTCACATAACTCGACTAGCGCCACGATGAAAGCGGACCACGGCAAACGATCTGCGACTTTTCTCATGGTCGCTAGCTCTTCCTCAGTAGGTTCGTCGCCGTCGACAGATACGATGTCGCTCGCAGATAGTTGACCAGGCTCGTCTGCCTTCATGATGGTAGCCGACTTTGCGTTCGTAGTCTCAATCTCGGCGCCTGGAGCTCTACTACTACCAGCCATGTCGTACGTGGACCTTTCATTTATTTGGAACGTATTGGAATGGACCCCTGCTGGTCCTAAGCTGCGGTCGTCCATCTCGATGGGCGTGTACTCGAACGACGATGGGAAGAGACCGTCGAATGGTCTTTCCCTCCAAGAGACTAGTCGTCTCGAGATGGACTTCGCCGCCGTGTAGAATATGTTTGCTTGCCAAGGCCTGTCACGAGGGATTGGAGGAGCTGTTGGGGTTCCGGCATCGTCGCTGCAACTGGCGCAGTCTGAGGCTGGATGAGCGTGAGTCGAATATTGATCCGAAGGAGATCAGACCTGCATCCAAAAGGCCCTCCACGATACTTGTAGCTTCTTCTTCCAACATGCTGTCTTCAACAGGGTCTCGGTCAGGTTGAGCCATACCCTAGGTAAGAATGAGAAGCGCGTCAGAATAAGATGCCCGTCAGGATGCAGTGGGGATACACCCGCACAGATTTTCGTACCAGCTCGTAGGCAATGCGCTGTGATCCACGATCGCCCACTGGCGGCAATGATCTATCCAGCCTTCTCTCCATCATATTCTAGCTGACATGCTTTCGAGGTCACTGTTCAACAAGGAACGGGTGAGATTGGCGGCCATTGTCGCATCGTCACACATGGTCGCTTGAGGCGACGCGTTGTCGATCTCAAAAGCAGGTTTGCGTTATCAGGATCTCATAACATTGGAGACGCCTTCGTATCGATTGATGTAGCTCATTTGGCCTTTCCCCACTGAGGATGGTGACACGTCAAATGCTCACTGCTGTGCTGCAAGCAACGGGCCTTGGCAGCGAAGATGCAGTGAGCTAGCTAGAGGGAACGTAGGGCTAGGGTTAGGGCTGCTGTTAAGCTGAGTCGATGTCAGACCCTAACCCTAATTGCGCTAAGATGTCGGATAACGCCTCGCCTAAAAGGTGTAGATAATGCGCTCAGGAATGTACCGGAACTCGATCTGGTATCATGGACCTTCTACCTTTGCTTCCTCACGCGTCTGGTCAACAACGTCTGCATAGCATTGCGTATCACAAGTTGTCGGTAGATTTCTCTAGGTTCATATGTTGGGCTTCGCCCTTAAAGGGAATGTGAGGAAACTACCTTGAGTATGCGTGTGAGACTCAAGCCACCTTCTAGATTAGACCAAAAGCGGTCTCTGTGTCTTCGACTGTTTCAAGCAATCAGGGCGAGCCACGATTGACATATGGATTTGAGCTTTTGGGCTCTGAAAACTTACGGTGTGCATCCGCGGTGGCACTTGGTCCGTCTGATATTCGGGTCAGCTCATGATTTCGATGAGTATTTATTGTGCAGAATAGATTTACCTTCTGTAAGATGGATGTACGTGGCCATTCGGACTGCGCTAGCTGCTAGGCCACTGGTAGAAGTAAGTCTTTGACCTCTTTGACCTGCTATGCGACATAAGCTAAAGGCATATTGGGCATGCTACTGACATTATTGCTAATCCAAAAACTCCAGTCACGCCTATCTTCCTGGCTTTTTTTGCGTGCAACGACCAAATCTACATCGTGTAAGCGAGATCGATCTCCACCCAAATTGAGTCGACTGGAACCTTGGGTATTGGCAACATGAGGATCAACAGATCCAGCAAAAAGTTTGAAATTGCAAAGCCGTTCAGAAAAGGAAAGACGTAGATGCAGTACTCCAAGTAATCTTCTACATTAGTGGTCCAAAGTGCAGAAATGTGGGACCCGCATTGGACCGCGTTCATCACAATCATCGCGATCGTCCACAAGATTGTGATCGCGGTGCATAGGTAAAGCGTAATGTTAAAGGTAGCTGAGGCAACCCCAGTGGAGAAAATGCGGCGATAGAAGAACAGTGCCCCGAGCTTAATGCATCCTAGGGTAAGAATCTGTATGAATTGGAACGCTTCCAATAGCTGAAGTTGAGCGCATTAGACTTGGTGTTAACCAAAATAGAGTGTTATGCTGTAATCTACCTGACCCTCATATATCTGGCAGATGTTGTAGGCCTCAACACCATTCTTTGGATCTAGGTTTGGATAACCCCAGGCCCGTTTGTGGACACCAACACGCGCCAAGGTGAGCGTATGCTGGAGGATCTTGATTGGCCACTCATACCTAGAATGGAGCATATGCACATGCCAATGAACAAAACCTGCAGCAAGCGAGAAGGTCAGCTTCCTGCTAATGGTCACTACCTTGATCTTGGTACTGGAATCTAGATGAATGTGGGCTCACCAGGGCTGGCAGCATCAACCAGTCGTCGAATTTCGTCTGTGAGCCCTGTCTGCCACGCAACCAAAAGCGCAAGCCGACTGCAGCGATTGAAAGAGCGGGCAGGATACAACTCATTGTGACGAGCCCAGACGGAGAGGTTGACGGGTTTCTCGACATAGTGAGGGGAGTCTTGGTTCCAAGTGTGTTAAGTGTGTTCTAATAATCGAAGCAGCACGATCTGAATAACATGTGAAATGCGAATAGAAAGAATATTGACACCCGGGGGTAAGATAAGTCTTTGGACCTTAGACGGAGATGATAGCGAAGGGTGCATTGGTTGGCATCGGTAGTGGGGGTGCAGATCATTGGCGAAATCTTGCAAAATCTGTAGCGCCAGTCAACAATGATTGCATTGCAGACTTGGAGGTTGCATCGCTTTAGGTGGGGGTCACGGAATTGGTTCCGAACCTCTTCAGAAATGGTGGGTGGAGATGGGCTGAATGCAGGATGATGCAGTCCGGGGGTGGGTGATTGGTGATAGATCCAAGAGGGCCGTAAGCCTGGAAGCCCCGGCACACATTTTCGAAGAGCGCAATTGTCACGTAGATCTTGCCTCGAGAATATAGTCCCATGTCTTGCAGTGGTTCGACAAGAAACTCGTACGTGTGGACCCTTTTTCGATAGATGATCCACCGCCCCAAATCGATACCGAATTTAACCTGCGTCGAAGAGAGTCTCTCACAAGCTTAACAATAGAAGCAGTCGGATCCGTTGCTGCAGAAATGCCTTGAAGCACAATAAGAAATGACCCTTGCATATCATTAACTATCGAAGTAGTCGGATCCGCTTTGTGCAGCATTAGTTCAAAACACAGCAGCTTCAACATGCACCACGAAAGTGCCTCAAAAGATAAGCAGGTGTGATATGACGAATGGATGTAACGCAAAGTGCACTTTACTCATTCATGTCCAGCTACAACATACCTTAGTACTGTATGTTGTAACATTTACTAATAACGTACCGTGCCGTATCTGCGCATGGTAATTAGATCCCGCAACTTCAGCCGTTTTGTCGGGACCGGGTGTCCATCCCCGTAGCTATTTCCTGCATGGGATGTTCCCGGACATCATCACAACGCATCATTTGATGGCCACAGGAGTGCCTCGTACCGACGGTCCTTTGTCTTACGACGGATTTGAAGGGCGAACAAGGGTTCATTTGCATCAAGCAGGCTGACGTATCAATGCGTTTGAGTCGAGGATCCTCGTCTCAAAGGACGGTTAAAGATATTCGTTTTCCTAATCTTTTCCTGAGAACTTTTTCTGAGAAAAGTCCTGTCAGCCTAGTGTCAAGTCGATCTCGCTTCAACCAACGGCGAATATTGTTCAACATAGTTCAAAAAATTTCCCACCACAACGGCCGTCCAATCCCACTCAATATGAAGTGGGCAGCCTTTTTCGTGTCATTCATGCTTTCCGGATGGGCTTTGGCACTACCGATGCCAGGTAGGTGCCTCCTTTTGCACGAAACCCTTGTTACCAATTTCTCATGCGAGTCAGAAACAGATCTCGGTCACATTCGCCCCCTGAACGGGGACAGTGCCTATCCAGAGGACATCGATGTGCTTCGTTAAGTATGTAATCTGACCTATAACGCAAACGATCTTCTCATGTGGAAAAGAATGGACAAGCTCGGCGGACCGGTATAGACGTTGTTGTTGGGGGAGGCACGGAAGGTGTGGGTGGAGGGTTGTGGATAATCAATGATTGGGTATGCCGGTGGACGAAGAATGAATTTGCTCAAATCTATCATGACAAATCTATCGTGTTTCGCGCGGTATTTCTCAGAGGCCTCTCGCAAATGCATTTTTGCATTTATTGACAGCAAGAGTGCATTGCGACGATATAGAACATGCCCTGAACATATGTAGATACATGTAGAAGACCTCGCTTTTCGCCCATTCAATCCTTGTCCGATGAGTCTATCCATGGCTTGCTCCCATCGGGGCAGTGCTTAAATCTGTCAAGTGGGATCCCTCCTTCAATGGTCTCCACCCCATGCTTGTATTTGTAGCAAGCAGAATGACTGTTTGCCCACTCCTCCAATTTCTTCCAGTCTTTGCCATTCGGTTTGTCCGTCGCCAGTGCCCATCTTCTGGTCTAAGCCCGAGTATCTTGGCGTGTCTCTGCATTACATATGATCTCTTGCCGGAGACCATCGAGACAGTGATTTATATGCGTGAAGTGTAGGCTTTGCGGCTTTTCATCATGCATCTCCGTGAGCGACGTCCGCAGTATGGTCTGCACTGAGCTTAACGATGGCTGTTGTTACCACGTAGCAGGGTGAGGTAGCTTACGAGGCAGTGTAGATTGTGATAGCCTTGCAGGAGATACAGCCCCTTCGATGAGTCCCAGGGCCAACGCTGCGACTCATGGGTCCAGTACGCAGGGCGAAATCATCACTGATGGCCACGAAGCCTGTGTCAGGATTCAAAGTCCCCCAAGCTTGGTCCCATATGGTTCTGTTATGGCTGGCAAAGCCGCTATCATCAGTCCATGCAATTTGCTTATTGCGCTCAAGGCTGGCTGCTTGACAGTTAATGACCTGGACAATGCTTAGCTCAAGAGTAACTCTACCGAAAGCAGTCCTGTTCGAAGAGATCTCATGAGGCCTATGTAAGAAGTGCGAGATGATGAAAAAGCGTTCGCAGCTAGTGACATGGCGAGAGTAATAGACACGATGCCGCTGACAAGTTGACGTCTCTTGCTAAAGCCGAGATCTTTATCATGATGATGCGTAAAGACCTCGTCAATGGCTTTTTTCTTGTATGAGTCTGTATCCTTTCGACGACATGCCGTGACAGTGAGGATGCTCCCACTCGAGAAAAGGAATAGAAGAGTGCAACTAAGCCATAAAATAATATCACGGTGTCATAGAAAAACGAGTGCCTGCAACATAATATCATGATGAATTTGCATCGGGAGAGGCAGCTTTTACCTCTGGAAGCTGAGTGCCACCACCTTTTTGAGTTCAACGTATGCAGGCCTATGACCACAGATTGCGTGGGTGAAGCTGTGATCCCTGACTTTGCATATAAGGCAGGATAGTGGAGAGTCTGACGTCCGAGCTGCAGGCAAATTGAACAGACGGGATTCGAATGGGTCACTTGCGCAATTACGTAAAGTCTCTTTTGAGCCAATCAGAGTCTTTATCCAGCCCAGGTAAGTAGAGATACTTATGAACATTAGCTTATCTCGTCCCTCACTAATTGTCGAACTTCGACCCATCACGAGTTCCTTTGTTCTCATTAATTCCTCAAACACCTAGTGCAAAAGACGTCCGAACATGCCGTTCATTGTCAGCGAAGATATTGCAGATGAGGACTTTGATTCGCTTTTCGCAATTCAGTACAAGGCTTTTTCCAACCAACCAGCTCTAAAAGCCTGTTCCCCAGAGGGCCTCGATAATCCTGGTCGCTCTGAGAATGTCGCACGATTCATAAACGTTCTTGGATGGAAAGAGTCTAATGTTGTGGCAGCCAAAGTGGTTGACGACGAAACGGGAGAAATTTGTGCGTTCGCCACAATGCGGGTTTGCGACGGGAATCCGTTTGCTGGCGCGAAGGATAGCGATATCCATTGTCCACAAGTCGACGAAGGGATGAGATCAGCGGTGGAGTGGACTTTGAATACGAAGAATGATCGTCGGAGATGTTTTGAAGCTTTGCAATTGCCGGGCTCTTACTGCTGTGAGTGACAGACCAACTCAATAGTGACATCTAAAAGAAGAGAACGGTTCTCACTATGAACAGATCTGCAGGCTTTAGGAACCGATCCTGCTCGCCAGAGCAGGGTGCGCAACGCTCTTAGTGAAGTGGGCCGCGCGAATCATTGATGAAAAGGGATCCAGGGCCATGGTCGAAGCTAGCAAAGATGCTACACAGTATGGGCTGTATTCGAAGCAAGGTTTTCGGATAGTGGACACGTATGACTACATCGATGAACAGAAGTTCCCAGGGTTTGAGGGGATGTATGTTGTCCCATGGTCAGAGATGCCCAAGACCGATAGAAATCTAGTAAGACTATGGCAGTGAAGCCTAGCCCGTGATCGGTATTTGCTGGAATAGCCATTGCAAACCCTATCGCCGGCCCTCAGTGAAACATTTGACTATTTTTCGCAGTCTTCTGTATTCGTTCCTTTGAGGGTGGAAACACCGGGTCTTCCAACTTCCAGCTTATCTTAAAGCTGCCTCTGAGACCAATGAAGCAGGCCAGTGTACTTGGACTTCGTCTTAAGGTCCAAATACACCTGGCATTCTCTGTAATAGGTTGACGATCCTCCACAGGTTCTCAGCCCGTCCAGCTTCTAAGACGAATAGCCACATTTGAGTCCACTGCACCATGTATTGTCTTTCCTTCTTCCCACGCTTTCCTCGCCTCTCCCAAGCAGCCTGCCGTTGTAGTATTGTATCCACCGGGCACTATGTGTCCTTAGCATCCTCCATAGCGTCTCGTGAAGTCGACGAACGTGGGTGGGGAAGACTAGAGGCGATTGTAGGCAGAGCGGGATGCAAGCAACCCACGCTTCGCGTTTGAGAGAGGGTGAAGGTAGAGCAAGAGGACTCAGCGGCGCCGTCGACGCTCCGGTGATCGTACTCGAAATGCCTATATTTGGGTCGGGATTAGTCGTAAAGGTGCGATTCGTGGTACGAATTTATGGTCGGGAATACAGCTAATATGTCCTGGCGTTCGAGGATCTGTAGCAAGAGGCTGAAATCCAAGAGGCCACCTTGGTATTCGAAGGACCGGATGGTCACTCATATTGCATCATGGCAGCCTTCAATACTAGAGTCGTTGCAACTCTTAAAGACCCGAACAGTGCACTCGCGAGGATTTGTTTAGGATTGAGGAATCGCCAAACCACCAGCCCATCTGGTACCCAAGAGGGTGGTCCAACACATTGTACACGGAGGGGGGCATCAGCATTCCTGGACGCCTAGACCTTTGCGCCAAGACGTCGGATAGATTAACGCCCGGCCGGTGGGTGGCCTGGACAATGCTCTTAGAGTGACTCCCAGCTCCCAGCCCATTTCCCCGCATCACGGCCAGATCCTCAAACTTCGATTCATGTGCTGCCAGGAGATGATTCCAAGGCCCCCCTCGTCTCGCACCCTAGGGCTGCCCTCCGAAGATACAGCAGGGTTGGTCCTAGCGCTGTTCAGGACTTTTGATGTTGACCTGTGTAAGAGCCGTGTTATTGTAGGCACTTCGACCCTCGCACCCTTTACCGTGCAGTATTTCTTTATCCTGCGGTATGATCTATCCTATGGTACTCTTCTACTCTGCTGACGCAGTACGGTCTTAACTGTAGTGGTGGTAATGAATATGAACTGGTGTCAAACAAGTCGAAGGTGATTGAAAATATCAACGAGGAATAGCGAGGAAAGTAGTAAGGCGGGATTCTTCTCTACCTCAGCCAATGCTAAATAAATACCGTTGCTTTTGGGTGGCTGCGCCTTTTTTGGGCGCCACCCATAGGCGCCGTCGCCCTCGTTGTCGTCGTGCGACCTCGCTGTTACTTGCTGGGCGGGCGGGGCTTTGGCTGCCTCGCGTGCCTTTTGCTCCTGTGGGCTGATTTGTATGGGGTTGCGGGTTGGCTTGGCGTCCTATGGGGTTTGGGATCCTCGCTGTCGCCATGGGGGTTCCATTGGTTGGGGTTTTGGGGGCTATCTCCGCATCCTCCATGCTCCTTTTTTTACCTTTTTAGTGGTCGCGTTGTTGGGCTTTTTGCATCCCCAAAATTTTTTTTTAAAAAAAATAACCCCCCAAAATTTTTTTTTTTTTAAAAAAAAAAGGTTTTTAAAAAAAAAAAAGGGGTCCTTCCTGGGTGGGGTGTTGCCTACATCGTTGAAAGGGGGTTTCCATCTGGCACTGGGAAGGCCCTCATGACAGCGGAGCACCTCGACACAATGATCGAGATGAATCTACGCATAATTTACGCAGAGCAATATCATCCCGAGGTCCTGACATTTCTCAAGGATTTCATCTGCACTGTGCGAGATGCTCTTTTCAGATCCTCGCCAACATCAAAGGACTGGATGTTATCATATCTAATGGGTGACGAGTTGATAACATCTCTTCAGCGAGCCAACTGTGGAGAGGGTGGGAAAATGCAAACCCATATGCAAGGATGACGTTGATTCCTTTGTTCCCTGACTGATGCACCCGATACAGCAGCCTTTTCAGGGTCAGATCAGCTCTAAGTGGTAATTCCCAGCTTTTCGCAAGATTGTCTCAGCACACCCTACTCTTCTCCAGAACCGGAAAGTCACCAAAGTCGTCGGGTTTCTCCAATCCACCGGTGATGCTGATAGGCCCCAATACTGGAGCAACAAACAATGTGAAAGGAGGTAAACACACTTGCCCCCGGAACATGTGCATACTTTCTAGCATTCCCTCCGAGTCTCCACAAAAGCCATCCAACATCCCCCGCTCAAGATGCCCAGCGTACAGGAATCGACCGCATCATCGATTCGACATAACCTGCTACGATCCCTGTTCTAGGACTGACCGAACTGCCAGACACCATTCGCTTTGTTGACGCTCGCTATAAGACTCACCTCCCCACGCCACCGTACGTGAAAAAGCATCGAACGCTGCAGCTGATGCTGTCTTTGATGCTCTTCGCCGGCGTCGTCTGTTCCTTCCCCTGATGATTAAAGGCTGTAGAACATAGATTTCTGTCGATGCAGCTACGTGCGTGGTACTCGACGAGGCCTTTCTTTGTGACTCCTTCAACGAATGGTTATAGAACGGATGGCGACAAGGCCTGTAGGAAAAGGAGATTTGCTAGTGTAACTGCTAAACCGCTCCATCGTGCCGTCAAGTTTCACTACTTACTAGAGATCTTGATGAAGATCATGGGCAAAAGACTACCGCCAACCCGAGTTCGTGTGTGGTGATTGATAGGGTTTGGCCACTAGTGACAAAATATTGATCGAGGCACTCGCATCACTCGACATCTGTATTGGTCCCGCAAACATTATGGGGGAGTGAATCGTCCCGAGTGACTATTTGAGGCGGCCTGGTAGCCTGTTGGTCATATATCGGGCTTTCCTTGTATGGCAATGAGATGGAACACATACTTAATGTCTTCAGATCAACGGACAGTTCCATTCCATGTGCCCAGTGCAATCTTTCGGCTTCCTCATACTTGAGATCTTGTGACCGAATATCAGGACTGCTGAGACCTTTAAATGAAAACCATCCTGCGCTAGAAGAGCAGCTGGGTTAAAATAGATTGAACTCCGAGTGTTCTGTGCGCACACCGTTACACCATTACACTAATACAAGATGATTAAGAGAGGAGTCAGCCTCGATTACGTGGTGCAGCTGATATATGTTGTAAGACCTCTACATGTGGGTCGATCGTGTCTGGCAAGAATAGACGAGAACATCAGTAGGGTATGGAAGTGTTCTACGCTCGACAGTAGTAACCTAAACTCCTCACCAATAGCAATTTGACGTGTGAAGCTTTCAATCTATGTCGCGTTCCTTACATTTCGACTAGCTAAAATAGAAGTTGTCGAACATAAGTTTAAGCGGCCTCGGAGTGCCTTCGGGGCGCCTTCGGACAGCACAGTAAGCGAACTTCTTGCGTTGCATCGTCAGTAAGCGGACTTCTTCTGTCTTATGTATGGTGAGCAGACTTCATGTGTTGCATCCATTCGTTGCATGGCTCGGCCCCAAGTGTCTCCTACTGGACTTTCACAACTAATCCGCCGCTTTCTGCCTTTCGAATAGATACTTATCCCGAGTCCCACCCTACTGTCTTCGATTAGGCTCAAGAGATATAAACAATTCCTAGGATACCTCACTCCAGCCATTCTAAATACATCCATCCAGTTTTTCCGGTGTGCTTGATTAAAGCGGACTATGAGTCACACTCACGCTACTATGCAAACCGCTATACTCGGCTTTAATATAGCGACGTGGGTACTGATGGTCATCTCGGTTTGCCTTCGTTTCGTCGCCCGCCGTATGTCAAAGCTGGGCCTCTGGTATGATGACTGGCTTATCATAGCAGCTTCTGTATCTATTACCTGCATCCTATACTGTTAGGGAAGAAGAACTGGACTAATGTGCCTACCAGTGCCCCGCCACGGTATGCCTTGCGTCTGCCATCTGGAGTAAGTAATCCAAGGCTGTTACAGAAGAGTCCGCTCCGGGTCCCGTCTGACGGCTATAGACGGATTGGCATTAACATCTATGAAACAGTTGTGACGGTGTTAAGGCTAAAGCCAGACCCGGGCGACTACGCCAGGTCATTACGTGCAGTGTCTGACGTGCTGAAAGGCACTTTCATCTCTGAAATCTGCTGGACGATCGCCATTTGCATCGTCAAATGTTCCATCCTGACGTTCTACTGGCGCCTTTTCGGGCTGCAGGGTGGAGCGATTCGAATCGCTATCTGGGCATTTTTCGTGGTTGTGGTATGCTGGGGAATCGCCGTGGTACGTCTCCCTTCCCTTGGTCATCCTTGCCTGTTGAAGTACACTCACCCATCTGTCGACCTCTTCTAGGGGGTCGCAACTATCTTCCAATGTTCTCCAATCCAATATATGTGGGACCCTACGATTCCTGGTCGGTGTATCACGGATACGTATTGGTTCTTTGTGGGTTCTTCGATACCGCACATCATCACCGATCTAGCTCTGATTGGTCTACCAATGCCACGGATCTGGAAACTCCAAATGCCTCGATCACAGAAGATTATGGTGAGTGCGATACTTGGTTTGGGTGGCTTGTACGTTCTCTTCTCCTTCCGTTCTCGTGTAGCAGCGCATCTACTCTTGGATAGAAATTCGCTGAACCAAGTCCAAATTATAGAGTCACAGTCGTTTCTTTCTTTCGCGTGATCAATCTAACTAGATCAAACGGAGAAAAAGCTACAAACGAGGTCAGCCTCCTCATTTGGACGGGTGTCGAGGTCAATATGTCCATCGTTTGTGGTGAGTACCTATCATCCGTCTAACGTCATTCATTTTTGTAGTAGCATTTATCAGAGAAGGAGGAGCTAGCTAACGCCTGAGACCTTTCAATGTTGAACAGCCTGCCTTCCATGCCTCCGCCCCATAATAACGTTGATCTTCGGAAAGCTCAAATCACTACGTGAACACAAGAGCACGCACGAACGAGGTTCAGACTTGCCTATGGATATGCTGAAGTTAGACAGTCCAGCAGCAATGTTAGCAGTATCGCGGCAACAGATTTGGGGTGAGGGAGAGCGTCCCATGCTGGACTCTTTAGCACCGTCAAAGATGGAGGCCGCAACACCACCAGTCTGAGATGCGGAAGATGGCGCGCCAGGGCACATTGATCTTGGAGATTGATGCCATCAAGCCGGCTTTGTTGGAAATGGATTTTGTGAGGCTCGGCTGGTCTTTTGTTGTTGGTCCCATGGTTGAGGCTGCTGACCTCGTGACTGGGTTTGATATGGAAATGCCTGTTGTAATTATTTCCATTGTTCTTGGTGCTAATAATGGGGTGCGCATTGCCAAGTAGATAAAGATGAGACGTAAAGGTGTCCAATAAGGGCGCGTTGTAGGCCCGCTGGCAGGGTAGGAGGCGCCATAGCAACATCATCGTGCGAGTGCAGGTTAGCCGTATCAGGCTACAGAATTCATCAGAAAGGATTCGAGCCAGCCTAGACAATCGCTAGCTATGGAATGCGGACAGTGACTATGCTGGTAACGATACCGAACCAATAAAAATTACTCTCTAAGTAGACGATGGTATGCTGCGAATTCTTTTACTCGACGTTCCTTGACCAGTCTTGTTTGCCTTGGTCATCAAGTAATCAATGCGGCTTTGCGGGCACCAAACACTCTCGAGGGATCAAACGCTCTCGAAGACTGTGTTAATGTTGTCTTGGATGCCATGACGCTCAATGGTCTCTTTAGCATGCGACAGAGGGTCACAGTCGCCTCACACAAGCTGTCATTTTTTCGAGAACTACGCGCTTTTGGTAGAACCCAACAACCGAGTTGCGGGCTGTGAGACTGAAAGATATATGCCAACACAAGACGCAGTAGGTCGAGCAATGGTTCATACAATCTGTACTGTATGAAGTGAATGAATACATGGTAACGCTTACAGTACCTTCAGGCAACAAGAGCTCAGCCTCCTGGAACCAACCCCACTCACTAGCGTAGCGGCTCTATATGTACAGTCTGGTGTAGTGACGACAACCATTTCCAGGGCTTTATGTGGCTAAACCATGGCTAATAGCCGTAGACTACAAAAGACAACATTCAATCAATTGTTGATGGCCGCGGTTATCAGCCTTCCGACCGCACACATCACCATGGGCAGACAGAACCCTCGAAGAACTCCTCCCAAAAACGTCTATGATTGGGTTAAGAACGAAGAAATCTTTGCTATGCCTGTAAAACGATGTGGAAAGCATTGATTGGCAGTAGTCTGCCGAGAGCGCTCCGATAAGAGCATCGTCGTGACCATTTACCGTAGAGTAAGCCGCATAGCCAATCCATTTCTGTGTTGTCTTTAGCGCTCATGCATGGACGGCATGTACACCAGGCATCTAGGAATGGCTCACAGATTGGAATGCAATCAGTGTGAGCCTGGCAGCGCCCTGTCAAATCGACTCTTGGCAAGACAGTCCAAGCTACCTACCATCGAGTGCTTCAGGCACACTGTGTTTCGGGATATTTGCCGACCATTTCTTACAACCACTTCGAGGCTCTCAACTCCTACGGACAGCATCATAATCAAGGTTCTCAAAGCATTTGACGAGACATTACTTGAAGGAAACATGTCCAGGAAAGCGTCCGCGAACCTTTCTTAGCACCATCGGATATGCGATACTCCTTCCTACCGCTTGCCATCTCAACAACAGCGACTGCTGCTTACTGAAAGAACGCGCACACCTTTTCGCAGTCACAGCTGAACGAGAAGCCAAGGGAAAAGGTTATGCCATTACTGCCTCTTCAACAACAGATCACGGGCCAATGTCAGAATACATCCGTTCTCCTATGACTCATTACATTGTATAACAATTCTACGATAAGGTCAGCCATCGCTTGGTTATGCAGTCCAAGTCTATTGTCACTTCCACCTTGATGAAATCTATAACTCGCCGATTTCTGGCTTGAAGTCGACACGTGAGTACTTCTGGCAATAGAGTAATGTATCACATTGTGTTCTGAGTGGATATCAATTAGCTGTTCCTTTTTGCGTGACTAGAGAAGACCTGTTCAAGATTAATCAGCTACGAGATAGTATCTGTCGCGAGACATCAGCCGAACAGCGCTGGCGAAGAAGTCGCGAATCACCAAGTATGGCATAAAAAAAGGCAAGGGTTCGTCGACCGTCAGTATTTCATGCTGTACTTGACAGACGTGTTGGGTGCACCGTCGACTAGTTGAGGGTAGCATCCTTAACGATGTAGTATGACTCACCGTCCCGTCTCTTTACTAACAGCCTCTTAAGACTCCGGTCTTCAAGTCTTCATCCTCTTTTTCATGGAGTGTCTCACTTACATCGGCTTCAGCCCCTTCTTTCCTCTTTCGCTCCCTTTTAAGAGCAAACGGGCCAATGAGGCATAAACGACGGACAGTCTTTGCGTTTGCGGTCTCTACGCATCGCATGCAGACGGAACATGCCTAGAGTCGTTCCAGCCACTGGTATAATTGGGATCCGCATTGGACTCCACATTCTTTACGCCTAGCACACAGACAAGGCCGGTTGATGAGGTAGATGCCAGGCCATGCCACGTAGATGGAAGTAGAGTAATATTCCTGCTCCTTCTACTTTTTCCGCCAAGTCCCAGAGTCTGCCTCCGTACAACCTCTGCGAGCTTTCCATCATGCCAAGGCGAGGAGGGCTCATGCCACCCATTGGAGTTGGAGCTCGGGGTGTCGCACTATGGAGTACGACGCAGCACGACCGTTTTAATCCCTTGGGAGTTCGGCAAGTCTCCATTTCAATCGGATGCCCTTGATACTGCTGGGTGCTCACTGCCTCTGTAGAAGAACCAGTGGGCCTCAGCAGCGTCGGATTCCAGTGCTCCTGCTGGACTCTCTCCGTAGATACTTGGCTGCTTTTGCCAGCATTGTATTGTATGCCCCCCTCTTGTCCTCATATGGGGTCCCCAAGGCGTTGACAGCGGAGGTGCGAAGACCATATCCGGATCGGGGTAGTGTGAGGTTTGCTGGAAAATGTTAGCTACCAATTCCATAGTGGAGGTGGGTGAGTGTAGGGGTACGAGAGCAGAACAGCTGGGCTCACAGCTTACTGGGCTGGATTTAGGTATGGATGCTTCAGATTCCGCTATTCAAGACTCGAGCTGCTCCGCGCCGGCAAACTGGGCATGCTTGGACTTGCACCCGTGACCGTGACGCGGAGACGGTGTGCTGGTACGAGAAAAGTCGAGAATCGGCTCAAGAGATGTCGATGATGTGATGGACGGAAGTTGATGCTCTCAATTTGGCGTGCCTGAAGTAGTCATGTTAGCTTTTAAAAGTAGGGTTAGGGTAAAACTATGGCCCGCGTCGGCATCTTGCTCGTCCTTTTTTCACTTGAAGTAACGAATATCACCTTTCTCTCTCGTCTTATGCACTTATGATGTTTCCTTGAAGGTCAGACAGCATGCAATCCCAGTTCGAACCACTCTTTCAATGAGCTGCTCCTCAGCACGTTATGTTTTGACCACCGGCTCCTCCTTGCAGCTGGTGCAGGACTCAAGTACTCTGTCACCAGGGGCGTTCTTCGCCCATGCTACACCGCTAAAAGACCTCTCGAACGACGGAACGTAGCGAGAATCCTTGACCGTGCCGGCTTGAGGTCAGAGTCTCTATACCCTGATCAATGTGATCTCTGTCCGTTGAGTTTGGGCTGATGTTGGAACAGCCGCTCTGAAGGACCACATGGGGGACCTTGATGGCGCCGAGTACATCGAACCTACTGTCACTCGCACAGGTACATACAGCACCGACGAGCGAAAGACCAGGGCTGTGAAGAGAATCGAAGATAGGGGGTTTGACGTGTCGACTTTATTTACGCCCTGGGATACGACCGCTAGTTTGGGAGAGCTTGGCAGTAGTTCGCTCTCTGCCGTGGAGGAAATCTTGAAGATTCTTTTGTATAGAAACTGTTCCCGAGAAGAGATCTTTATACAGTTGGACGGGGCTGTCAATGGTGCTGTGGATAGTCGCACTTCGGAGCCTTGCAAGCCTACCTTTGCACCCCTGAGGAACCTACGCCGGCAATTAAGGGACGGCTCTTCAGTTCAACCGATCCCATCGCGTTCAACCAGGGGCATAACCAGGCAAGCTTCCTCTTCCGAGAAGCCTAAAAGAAAGCCGCGTAAGAGCCTTTCTCAATCCCCAGCAAAGAGAGTTTGCCAAGGTCTTGCTCACAGTCTCCGTAACGATACCGAGGAGGTATATGTTCACCGCTCTCAACACTCGTCAGAGTCAACTTCGTCGCATGATGGGGATCATCCCGAAACTTCAGACTATTATGCATTCATCGATCAAGCATCCTCTAAACTCTTAACACACACCCGAACTTCTCAGCGCTCACGCGAGCGCTCCTCGCAGCGGCCGCGGATCGAGAGCTCAGATGGCGACATCGCTGCCAATGACACGGCGGATTCTCAGCTCTTCCCTACGAGCGCGGTATCGAACGCAAAAACAGCGATAGACAGGGGCAAGCAGAGGAACACACAAGGAGACCCCATCGCAGGCCGCACAGCCGAAAGTTCATCCATCAAATCACGGAATAGATTGAGTTTGAAGAATTGGCGAACTCGCCTTGAACCCTGCACCGCTGACGCCCAAGGCGAATACGATGGAGTTGCTGCAGTCTACGAGACTGCTAAGAACGCTTACGCTACTACATTGAAGAGCGAGGATGATGCCCTTAAGTCTCTCTCTTCCTTCCGGACTGCCGGCACGCCCTTATCTCGACTCTCAGTCGAAGCCATAGAATCTGGCACTGTTGGACCTCTCCTTCAAAGGTTGGAAAAGATAGATGCCATAGAGAAAGAAGATGACCAGCTCAGGTCCGCGTACCAGCAGAAGAAGGAGAGCAGGATCGCACAGGCCAAAATCTTGGTCAAATCGAAGTCGGACATGGAGAAGAAAGTGAATTTACTAAAGCAGCTTCAGAACATCATGGATGATCTGATCACGGATAGTGAGCCTGAAGCCGGGTGAGCTTTACCAGCACAGTAAGACCAGGGGTAATATGTACTTGTCTGGGGGTAAAGATTACGCTTCAGACGTAGTCGTCAAGCTTTGACATGTACTACACCCCCACAAGGATACTCTCGTACTATCTGTCGCAATTTGTCTCCTTCGCCACGGAATCCATGGCGCCTAAGTCATTTCTTCACCCATTCTCTGTGCAGCCCAGCTGTGTGCAAATTTCCGCCCACGACTTTGCCCCTCACAACTTGCTCGCGCATGACTCTCACGCCCGCGACTCTCCCTACGCTGGTCTCTCCGCCCAGATGGATCCATAATACAAGCTCTTGACTCTCGTTCGGCATTTACTGCATAAGACCTTCCATGCCGTGGGAAGGTTGGCAGGCAAAGTCCTGAACAGCGCTAGTAGCAGCCCTAACCCTGCTTTCGAAAAGGCGGCCCTATAACGGCAGACCCTAGAACTGTCTCCGGAGCGCGCCTAGATTTAACTCTTGGGACTTCTATTTTTCAGAGCCTGATGGAGGCATTAAGCTGAAAATGAGCTTAGGTCAGACGCAATTCCGAAGCACTTTTGAGTGTATTGTCCAGGTAAAACTTCCACGCCAGGCGTTATCCGAGATCTTGGCGCGGAAGTCTTGGCGCCCAGGACTCTCGCTGCAGAACTCCGTACCTCTGTACAGATGGAGGAAATACGGAAGACCAGCCCCTTAGACTACCTCAAGCGCTTATGAAACACGGAACCAGAATCCCAACTCACAAGCGACACAAGAACCCGCGAATCGAAAGCGCGTTCTGCCCAATCTTAAGCGACCCGCTGCTATTCGAAAATCGCGAAACAGGCCACGAGTATCAGATTGACGACTCCAAAAACCCTTCCTCAAATCCCAGCTCCTTCACAGGAAAATGAGACGTATCAGCGAGCTGTACCATCAGAGATTTCCAAGGCTTGTTGGGCGCTGTGACTCGCCCCTGGCCCCTAATGCCTCGTCCAGTATTCCGAAAGCTCGGAAGACCAGGGTTGTATCTGCCCATCGCTCTCATTTCAAACGCTCGTTGTGGCTGTGAACTCATGGAAGGACATGTTGCCTCCAATCTACTGCTTGTTTCACGTCCAATGGTGTCGTGTTAGCTTGCTCGACCAACAAGAAGAACAATGTTTGTGGACATGAACGGAATCATGTGTCTCGAACAATGGACTGTCTGGTCTGAAATGATACCCCCATTACTCCCTCAAGTACGCTGCGACTTCCCTTTAGTCCGGACTGTTTGTGTGATTTTATCCTCAGTCACTTCGCAAACGTTCTCATTGTCTATCAGCTTTGAGCGAAAGCAGTATCAAGCTTCCACTTACAATTGTCAAATCTTATTCTGTGCCACGCGAATCTAACGCATCGTAACCTTTCATCTGTCCTTGAAATTCAACCACCATCATAACGTCCATCATGAAGTTCCACTACAGCAGATTCTTCATCATTTCAGCCTTGGCCTCTACAGCTCTTTCGCGAAGTCTAGACATCCAGCCTCGACAAGACGCACCGGCTGCGCCAGCCTCGCCTCAATCACGCTATGTATACGTTGTCACGGACGTGGACTTCAATCAGAAAGCTGTTTCGTCCCAAAGCGGGAAGCCTATCTTTGGTGGGCATACAAGCATTCGTGTGGGCGGTACTGATGCGGATGGTCCTCTCCTAGTTGACGTTGCTGTTAATCCGGGTTCAAGTGGTCTTCAGATCAGAGTCTTAGATACTGGTGTCGCTAATACTGGAAAGCCCATTGGGTTCTGGAGTGCTCCGAATTCTAGACGTTATGTTGTGCAGACTGGGGAGATCACTTTCACGAATGCGGAGATCTTCGACCACCAGACCGGCAAGGGTCTTGTGGCTGATGCCTGGAACGACAATCCTACATACTCGAAAGGAGCTGGCACCACCCCTAACACATGCTACGACTTCGCCGATCGAGTCCTGGCACACATGAACCTAGACTTGGATCCATCAATTATTAAAATATTTGCTAGCGCAGACGAATACTACACCAAATATACAGATAAATGGGTTGAAAAAGTACCACTGATCTGGTCCCAGAAGACCGAATTCCCTGCTGGATATACACCACAACAGGGAGAGCAATACTGGACGCGAGTGTTCGACGTTGTCTCAGACCCAGGTGCCCCGAGTTTTATCGTTGATAGTACTGCTCAAGGGACATGCAGCAAGGCGAAGATGTCTAAAAGGACGTGCTTCCCCGCAACAGCATTCAGTGACGACTGGTACTCCGACTCAGTTACCCAGGCGGAGCTTGATAACATTGGAGCGCAGCCATTGCCCGATGACAAAAAGCTTCCAACACTCGAAGAAGAATCCAGAGCTGCTGTTGCGCCCTTCCAAGACAGCGTAGGCAAGCCTGGGACACCTACAACGGGCCTGGCGACTGTTGGTATGGGTCGAGCTGCTGGTGTAATTTCTGCTGTCACGCTTGTCGCAAGAGAAGTTGCTCAGGCCGTTGGACTGGCTATTGGTCCAGCTTTCGTTCTTTTGGACATCGTTCAAGGCAATTGGATAGGTGCTGGACTGGCCGCTGTGGGTCTCGCGCTTGGTGTTGTCGCCTCGCTCGCCGTAGCTGGTCCTGTGGGTTGGATTGTTGGTGGTCTTATATCTACCTTGTTTGCAATTCTACCTGGCCTGTTCAAAAGCAAGCCTCACCTACCAGCCATCGCTGACAATGTTGGCACCCTTCAATATGCCTTCTTTGGGGACGCTACTCATACTGGCAACGAACAATGCCAAAGTCAAGGAAATCCCAACTGTACAGCCGTCTTCGGACCCGGTGTTCTCTCTCTAGTCTTCGAGTGGGATAATTTCGATTCAATAACCTTCCTCATTCAATACAATGAAGGCTACGCCATGACTCTACCGGAGATAGCGAACGCATTCTACAACATCAATGATCCCAAGAATAGCGGCGACGGATCGAATCAAATAGCAACCATCAATTGCAACAACAAGAAGGGAATCCAAGACAGATGGGGTGTCAGCATGAGGGATGACATGTCAAAATGCAATCATCCTAGCTTTCAACTCAACCGATCATTGGTAACACTTCCAGTGATCGGACAGACAGCAGACCAAGTATACAACAGAATCATCCCCGCCCCTAATGGCGATTGCAAATTGGTTTCGGATGCCGCGAACTCACTGAACATCCCTGACTACAACATGACGATCACCGGACAACCAGTAGCCATTGCCTGTGGTCTCTCCGCCGCCCTCGAGATTGGCGGAACCGTCATACCCCTAGATCCAACCAACAACCCCATCGTCGCCAATGTCTCTTCCGGCACCAACTCCACCGACGGTCAAAATGGCCACCAGCTAGCAGCACCAGCACCAGCCCCATTCCAGTCCCTCCTAAACGCCACAACGGCCCTCTGTCTCAGCGGTTCAGGCGGCGGCCTCTGCGTGCCAGCCGGCCAGTACGATATCCAACGCGGTAGTCTCGGGTTCGACAGCAGCAAGGTAGACACCCTGAACATGCCCGCTGGCGCCTCAATAGGCTGGTACGATGTCCGAGCCGCAACGCCCCGCGGTGGCCCAACTCAATCGCTGGTATCATATACCACCAATCAGACCGCCGCCGACAAGCGTTTTGCGGCCGCAATGGCTTCTGCGCCTACGAGCGGTGCTAACGGCGCCGGTGCTGGCTGGAACGCCACCCTCCCTGCTGGTATGCCCGACCAGCCGGTCGTATGCCTCTTTACTAAAACGGATCATAATGGGGACGTTGCGTGCTTTGGGGCTGGAGGCGGAAACGTTACTGGGGGGATCTCTGGAAAAGCGTCGTCGATTGCCGTGCACGGAAACGCTACGGCGGAGATCTATGCGCAGTCGTATGGCGATGCGGGGAGCGCAACTATTACGAGTGATGTGCTGGATCTGACGCAGGAGCCTTATGGCACGGATGATAATTTTAATCAGAAGATTGTCGCTATGTGGGTTTGTGACGGGTCTTGTAGTATACCTGTCTAATCATTTGATGTTTACTCCTACTTCGGGGTTGACTTGAAAGGATCAGGCTCGAGACTATCTTATTATTCTGAGCGTGTTATATGACGTATTATGCTCAGTAGCATCTATAGCCATCATGTCGAGTGTGAGGACTTACTCTACCGCAAAGATACACCTCGTGGACCTATGCCTGTTTGACTGAAACGTTGAGGTGTACGAACAGTTCCAGCAAATCGCAGCACCAAGCCGGCTGGACCTGCCTACAATTGGAGCTGTGACCCCGACATGGTATCTACGTCCGTGACTGAGTGCCTCGATAAGAGTGACAACGAAGTCCTTCATGTCCAGCGCGCCTATTCCCATGCAGATACATGCCTCCACCATAAGAGTTGTAGTAGTGTAGTTGCTAGTTGCAGGACGTCAACGCCTACTTATCTCCAATTCACCCCTCTCCCAATCTGCAGTCTCACGAGTTCTCTTCCTTTCATCAGGTGTACAAGGATCACCAGCAGCAGGTCAGATGTAGATGACCCCTGGTGCCCCGTCCTCATCAACCCGTTTGCGCTCACAAAGTCGTTCTCGGCACTACTTTTAGGCGGTGGGCAGTTGCCAGTTTCCTGTCAAGGCTACGAGTACCTCCAACCCACCCGCAGTTTCCCGGCTCCATTGCTACTACGGAATTATTCTCCTGCATTAACGTTTTCAGGCCGCTCACGCTTCGCTCGTACAAGTGCCTGTCGTGGGGGTTCTAAGGAGACGCGAGCTGCACCCACATCTATCGAAATTCACCATCCGGTATTTTCGGCCATAGCCCGACTGCAGCCAGAGCTCGACGCATGAATTTTCCAGGATGCACGAGGTAGAAGTGGGTGACAGCTTCAGTTTAAACTCAGTCTGTCTTGGATATAAGAAAAAATGAGTAATGATAAGTTTAGCGGAGTAAGGATTTTGACAGCGCGATGTTACACCTGGCGCGAACCCCTTTTTCTCCCGGGGGTCTGAGTTTGCAATCGAAGTTATCGCAGAAGACAATCGAGAGAGTACGATGGAGGTGGTGGCCGCGTTTCTACTCGAAGCGAGGTTGTTTCTTCAGAAGCATTATAGAATGGAGAAACTCGCTTGGATCGAGACCACGCCTATCTATTATTGATCTACGAGGACGCCCGAAAACAAGAGTCTCTACACCAGTCCTACAATGAGTCCTACACCCCCAGCCGCGTCTCCATCTGGTGCGCCAATCTTCTCACGCAACTGCCGCGCTGCGTTGAGCGGTGTTGCGCCTCCACGGCAACCCTGGTGCTCTGCCTCAGCTTCGGAGCCAGTGTCAGATTTGCCTTTAATGATGGAGAAAGGGGGTTGCAGGAACGTGGCCACTTCCAGGGACAAGTTGGTATAAGCCGAAACTGCCACGCCGTCTGGGATTGGGTACACTTGATTAGCGACAGTATTCGGAGCCGGGTCGATGACAGCGAAGGCCACGGGCTCTCCCTGAGCACTCGCACTGTTCCACCGGCCTGTCGTGTCGTACAGCCCAGTGCTCCCATTGTACTGTTTCTGCAATGCAGGGATCGTGGATGCAGCACGAGAGGCGTTGCCAGAATGGCTGTCAACCACTTCTTGCTCAGGTGGAGATGCGCCCCCCTGTGCCGTAAACAAGGGAAGCCAAAATGCAAAGCACTTTTGATCGAGGATAGTGGATTCTACGTAAGCGAGAGCGGATCTTTAGCTGGGGTATGCTAGTATTTCATGAGAGTTACGTCAACATGGTGAATAGCTGTGATTACCCGAGGGCTAGTAAGGGACGAGATTCTGTCATTCAAAGTTTCAGGTGTGATGTGTAGGTTGCTTGGTTATTCTATCTTAGAACTCTCCTGGGATAGCCGGCACGTGCAGAAGTCATAGCTGAAACGTGGCTGAGAACAGCCAAGGCCTTGGTAGGCTCTGATCAACCGCCCTGAATCTTCTCATTGGACTCTTTGTTAAATCAATAGAAGAAGGCATGGAAGAGCTTGCCTGTATAATGTCTGAATACTTTCACGGCGCTCCCCGAAAGCCCCGATAGGTAAGTCTCCGCGCAGCAGGTCACTCGAAAGAACGAACAGTATCAACAGCATGAATCATGCGAGAGACCAGACCTGAACTCCGTGGTAACATTCGCAGCTCTTAAATGATACTATTGCCCGGATACATGCAGCGTGTATGCGTGCAAGAATCTTGCAACATGCCTCACATCATCCTTTGATTGCAGAAAAAAAGGGCCATACTCGCGCATCCGCAGGAAATCTGTGTCTTTCAAATCGGCCATGTTCTTATCATCCTTGCCGTACGCCTCTGTGAAGTGTGGAAAAGTCAAATAGATTTCGTCTTTGTCTTGAGATAGGAGAAATATACTGCATCATGTCAGTCTAGGGCCGAGACGGACTGGCAATGGAAGAACGCACCTGCAGTCTTTTTCCGGGTTATGCGACTTAACATCATATTACGAGATCCATGCCGCCATTTGAGCGCTCTCTTGAACTCGAATGGACACGTCGTTGGGTCTTCTTCGAGGCCTAGGCTTCACCTCGATCAGACAGGAGCTCTGACCGTTCTTCTTCCGAAGGTGCCCATCTGTCCTAGCGACATATTGGACATTCTTCTGGAACACCATAGCATTTCTTTCTGCAAGCCAGCGAGTGTGGAAAGGTACTGTTGCAGCAGTAATGGCGGATAGCAGGGCAAGCAAGAAAACATTGACTGTTTGTTCATCTCTGATCAGCTGACCTCGAGAGCCTCGCATAGGAGTGTAGAAGCCATCCTTCGGATCCTCGTCTATGTTTTCCTCCTCTGTAAGAGAAAGTGGAGTCAGCATTTCCGTAATCCACAGAAGTGCAGTGAGTAGCGAAGCATATGCAAGCAGCGCGCTCGGAGAATCGGTCCTGTTACATGGGGAACTAGAATATGGAGCTAAATATCGGGGAACCCGCCAGCATTCCTATTATTGAAAGGTGTGGGGTGATAGACGGCACATGCCTGGGGAATGTATCTAGAGGACAGGGCCACGGCAAAGGCTCTATCCCTCAAATGAAGCAGCAATGAAGAAAACAACGAATCCGAAAGCGTACCTATATGAGGGTTTGGAGTCAGCATCGCCAGTGTCTAGAGAATCATGATGCACGTTTGGGTAAGGCACATGGAGCGAACGCCTATCAGAAATCCCCTGCAAACCAAGACCTTGATACTGGAAAGTGGAGAGATTGTCGGACCTGACGAGGCCTCCGACTCATCGTTAGAAAGGATCTCAAGGCGTTTTGCTGTGACCTCCTCTTGAATCTCCTCTTTTTGGTCCATAATGACTTCCTCGGCTTCCTTCGCAAAAACGTCTTGATTTTTGATAGAAAGTTTCGCTGCCAGGTCTGAGAGAGAAGACTTCTTGACCTTCGAAGCTGGGGTAGGGGTCGCAAGGTACAAACTCTGCTCAGTCTTGGCTCTTGTTCGACTTGCAATTGGCGAAACCTCGGAAATTTTGCTCACATCGGCGGCCTTGTTGTCCCCAAGCAGGACATGTCTCTGGAACTGCCATACGTTAAGGAACGCGCCCAAATTCATCGGAACGCATGTTCGCGAGACAGTTTCGGTGGTCTCGTTCCGATTGGCGAATTCCTCGATCATGTTGAGGTAGGCGTTCCAACCATCTAGGGATTCAAGGCCTGCGTTCGTAGCCGGAGGAAATTGGTTGTTGATATAGACGGGCAGGGTCGACTTGGGGTTTTGGTCTTCGTAGATGACTCTCAGACCAAGGAAATGTCTGAATTCAAAACGAGACGCCGATTTGACTTTCTCCTGAGAGCCCAAGTCTTTAATTGCACCAAAAGCACCCCATGCTCTAGCTGAATTTTTCCACTCTATCACACTTGCTGGCATCGGCTCTTCAAGATCTTTTGGATTCGGAGGCATGTTGTAGATGAGCGCTTCGATTCTCTGAGCAAGATCGAGAGTCTAAATTAGGAGACCGTTGATTATATATATATACAATTGAAAATAAGGAAAGGGATGTAAGGATCGAGAGAGGATAAAGGATAAAGAGTATCTTATTCTTCGCCTATTGCGCTAGTGGCCCTGTGTTGACAATAAAATAGCAGCCGCCAAGCCGTTGTCCCGGAGATCCGCCGCCAAGTGGGGAATGTTTGTTTATCCGTCATCGCTGTTTTCAGCATGCTTTAGTTCACCTTGACCACATTGTACGACTCTCCACTCATAGCGTCGACTCAATAAGGTAACAGCCATGAAGCAAGAGCCAGTCTGGAAAGTTGGCCCTGTCATGGAAAGCATCTATAGCACGCTCCAACAAATCCTCCGCCTTGTTGAGAAATCCCCTAAGATCTATCTGGACGACGCTTTCTTGAGCGAGATCAGTGTTCGGAAACATGAATGGGATCTAGCCGACACAGATGACTTCTTCGCTTGCATGACAGAAGAAGAACTTGCCCATCTTAGGCCATCTGACCCTATACCGGACGAAGCTATACCGTACGAAGATGTCGAGTATCCAGAATCTGCTCAACCTCAAAACGTGTTCGACCTCGAAAGTTCCGGTATCGCAATCGAGCTATGGTTTCATGAACTTCAAGAGCGGAAGGTATCCATCGACGGGTGTGGTTGTATTTGGCCAGAAGGCTCGTCCTCTTGGGCCCCTCGTGAGCTTTTCAAATACGAAGATCTTTGCCACGGAAGAAGAAACCCACCTCACGTACCTTGGACTCTTTCCGGGGCCTATTACAACGACGACCAACCCCATCAGATTTACCACGCGTGGCACGGAGACGAGGGAAGAGAAGGGATCATTCTGCGGAGCGAGCTTCAGATCTTGATCAGATGTATGAAGGGGAGAATGGCGGATCCGGCGCTCTGCATGCATAACGTTCCAGTGAGATCATCACTTGTCTCCATGTTACCTGCTACAACAGCTGACACTCTCCTAGGTGCTCCTACTCTCCATCCACGGCACCAAAGCCCGAATCATGATTGCCCACTTCAACATGAAGAGAAAGACACTCGATATCAAATGCAGCGGATTCGAGCAATTCGATGGCTTCGAAGCAAAAGAAAACACAGGAACTACAGACGGCTGTGCGAGACCTCACGACTTCGAGGCGAAGAGGGACCTTTTCTTTAGATGGCTCAATCCGATTTGTCAAGGGGATACATATTTGAAGGACTCGGAGGACGCGCCGGAAATGGTCTTACGAGGGCCAAAGGGGAGAAAGCGGCTGGTGCCGCGTCACTTGCCACCACCGTCTTCGAGCTCGGAGTCAACTGAGATCCTCGAATAGATGTACGGCCTCCACAGACTTGGGACGCGCTGTATCTTACGCAAGTAGTACAGCATGAGGGCATCTCATGTTTGACTGAGAAAGTGCCTGCATGACCCGTCGTGGTGCATTGAGGTATCTAAGTCTCTACGAGCGATTCCATAGATACGATCATTCCAGAAGCTTAAGCCATATTTCGAAGGTCTTCAGTCTTTCGCTTTGACACACTAGCTGTCATTGCCTGTGCACACAGCTAGGCACGCTGAGTGTAGAGCCCATCCATCTCCTAGCCAATGATAACTTCGCACAGGAGGGTGTGCGGTCTGATGATCAAATCATACAAAGCATCTTGAAAACACATTCATCAGATGCTACGGGACGTACATCTAAGTCTATGGATATGGGCTCTGTGCTTCACTGAGTATTGGTGTTAAAGAATAGAGGGTTTTGATCCTTTTCAGTCTAGCATTACTCGAAAGAATATCTATCCTCCCCATGCGCTGCCGTGACTAACATGCAGCTGTGCTACTGCCATCTTCCATGGAGAATCCCAACCGGAGGGTCTCAGTCCGCTTTCGGATGGTCTCTGTCACGAAAGCTGCAGCCAAATCGAACACTTCAATGCCAACACGTACTCAAAGACCAACCAGTACCAAAGCCAAGCCGAGACCACAATAACAACGGTCGCCCAGAACACGGCTCAAGCTCCAAGTACTGCTGCAATCTTTACATCAGCACTTTCTCAAACTCGCATTCACCAGCATAGACCAGTCTACAGCTGTCCCTAAGAGCACTGGGGGATGACATTCGCCCAGAGAAGGTTCCCATCCTGGTAGGGTACTTATACATTGATGCCTCTTTGATTTTTTACTCAGATCCAGGCGGAGGCCACTCAGTCTGGCGAAATGCCCGTCATCTGTTATATACCGCCATTCCCCATCCAGTCCGTTTATTCACCACCACCACCACCACCGTTTAACCATCGTTCCCCTTATCCATCCTCCCCTCGCCTATTCAATTGCTCGTAAAAGTCGCGCTCACTGTTGACACTGGAACCGGAATGGACAGCTTATTCCACACGATCCCCGTCGCACCCGCTTCTTCCCCAGCCTTCTCAGGATTCCCAGAAAGTTTCTATCCCAGAGGATGTGCGAGGATGTGCCGAGGCTGAAAAATTGAGGGACACGAAACAGATTCATATAGAGGAGGTCGGTTTGGCCATTGACTGAGTTTCGGCCGAGTAAGCGTCGCTTTCTTCGTGCAAAATAAATTCCCAGACACGATAACGCGGCTGCGCTAGTCTTCGGTCGAATAAGACGTTATCTAACGAAATACCAAGGAGATTCTTTAAACCTCATGCCATACCTCGCTACTCCTTTTTTTCAACTATATACGTTCTCGAAGGATGTACTACTGTTGTATTCGATTGTATTATTCACACATTCCGAGAGTAATTCATGATTCTGACTGCAGCACGTGGAGAAAAAATGTTGACTGCGCTCTGTTGGGCATGCTCACTTGTTCCAAAGTCGCTGCAAGCCGGCATAACCAGAGATGCGTAACGGAACATGTCAAGTCATTTCTAAACCCATGGCCATTCTTAAGAACTTCTAACTGTCTTCGTGACTGGGCTAGAAACGTTGATTTCAAAACGTTGTAAGATGATCTGACACAGGCTCTTTAAAGTTGGCTGCCACGAAGTCTACAGTAACGTCAATACTGCTGTCACCGCCGCTATCTCCCAATAAGCACTGTAAGCCTCTCCGTTAAACAGGATTGCGAAGTCAGTGCTGACATTATCCAACATATCAGCTGCGAAATTGATGATCCAGGTCCAACTGATGGGTGCCGGAGAGGACAAGCGCAGGCTGAGCCCATTGATATTGAATGCAAGATTTTGCGTCGCATTGACGGTGGTGCTTATTTGCTTGGCGGCAGAGTCGACCACCTTGGTGTAAAAAACTTCCAGATTCGCAGCTCCGAGTTGAGTAGGGATGATGGACGTCGTTGAATTGTATGCCATGTACCAGCCATCGCCGAGGTTGCGAGTCCTGGTCTGTATCCCCATACTACTCATCAAACCAATCTCACCAGTCCGAGGTCGTTTCTGCGGGGGCTCTGGATTGGAAGGCCCGGGCTCATACTCGACATCTGTGTCTTCCTGTATTGCGACAGGCTTGTTGTTCTTGTAGTCTGCTATGGTGTCGTTTTCGAACTTGGATAGTGGCGCGTAAAGGATGATACGGAGTTTTCTGTTATCGCCTTGTAAAAAGGGTAAGCGGACCTTCTATCTCTGGGGGCTACGATCTCACCTGCTGAGTCAATCCCGCCTGTGCCCTGAAGGCCGAGTATGCCCAGAGCTTCCACACATGAATTTATTCTTCGCTTTATTAAGTTATAGAAATTATAAAATACTATTATAGCTAATAGTAATAACTCGATTAAGATCTATATTATTAATATATATATAAAATTTAAAGATCTTAAGCGTATAGAAGCTTTAATTAATAGATGAATTCTTATTATTTTATTATTAAATAATTTAAATAAGAAGTATAAGAACTTTATATATCGTCTTATTATATTAGTATATACGAGGTCTGCATCGAAAGTCCTGCATGCGCTAAAACTCTTGGCATTCTTGGCATTCTCCGGCAATTTGACAAATTTCTTGAATAGCTTCATTTTTTATTGATGATTCTTTATATAACTACGTATATACTTATTGGCTCGCTCATTTGAATTATATAGCCGTATATCCCTTAAAACGGCCTTCCCTGTACTCGTTACCGCCTTTTAAACGAATAACTTCGGCAATATATCTAGGCATACGTTCTATCCACTCCTGAATCCTCTCTTAGAAAAGATATTTCCGGAATGAGGTCGCGGGCTTGTTGTTTCGGGCGACTGACGGTTTAACGAGAGACTTCTGTAATGGCCGTAACGATCTTCGCTGCAATACCATATTCGGCAAGTAAGTGCCTGAAGTCTGGTTCGTCGTTATGATTGATGCTCTGGCACTGGGTATATTAGAATTGGAGAGTAGTGAGAAGATGCCCACTTACTGTATTGGCATGTACTGAACATATACTGAAATTCTTATGTTCTCCCTATTCCCTGTCCTCTGTCGCGTAAGTTGGCATTGATATCGCTGCTATCGCTACAATGCACACAGTAATATCGCAATTATATACCCCGTATGCATGCAGTAATATCGCTACTATGTATTATATACGCATGCATTATATATAGTAAGCATTGATATCGCTACTATGAAAGCATTGATATTCAAGATATTGAGAATATTTGCTAAGAATGCCAAGAGTTTTAGGCATGTGTAGGACTTTCGGTGCAGACCTCTGTATAAAAGAATAAGATAGGACTGAACTAGAAAACCTTGAATTTTATGTGCAGCCAATCATATTCGTTAGATCTACGCTCTTTGATTAGACCGGCTGAGTCATCGCGGGTAAATAAATTAGCGTCCGCAACCATCAAAAATCTCCCCCTACTTTTAACCCTTTAATAACTTTCCTATTTTCTATTAAAATTTTGAGATTTTTTTTTAAATTATAGCCCGAAACTTGCGCTTTTCAATAATGAAATTTTTCTAAAATTTGGTCTTATAATTATTAAAGCGCAAGGAATTCAAATATCGCTTATCAAAGTTCGCTTATCAAAGTTCGCTCCACAGCCCTGATCAAAAACAGGTACACATTATTTAATTTTAGAATAACTTTTTTTTTTCTATTAAAATCCTAAGATTTTTTGTTTCAATTATAGAACGTAATGTGGGCTTTTAGATAAAAAAAGAATTACTAAATTTAGTCTTATAGATATTTATAGATAAGGAATTCAGATATCGCTCATTAAAGATCGCTTATCAAAATTTACTCGACAGCCCTAATCAAAAAAATGTTTATAAATTTAATTTATAGGCCTATACTCGTATATTAGACTTTAATAAAATTATTATACTTCTTTATAAAGAAGATTATTTTCTTAAATAAAATAATAAGAAATAAGCTATAGTTGTTATTATAAAGAAATATTATAAGAAATAAAAGAATAAGAAGGCCTTTAGAGATAATAATAATTTAGAATATAGGAGTAATACTTTAGAATAAGGACGAGGTGGAAATAACGATGAAAATAATAACTATAACTTTAATTCTCTATTAAATAACTCGAATAATATCTACTATAAGAAATTAGATAATATATCTAAGTATTTAAAGTATCTATTACTATTAAATAAAAGTAAGAAGAGATATTAGTTATATAGTTACTAAATTCTTTATAACGAAAAGATATCTAATCGATTTCGAAATAACAATAATAATAATAATAATAATTTGAACTTTAAGCTTAAAGCGAATGTAACTAATACTATAAATAGGTTAAACGATTTCGTAGATTAAAATTATACTTATATTTTAATAATAATCTATATTATAATTAATAATAAAGATACTATAAGAGATAAAGAGTATTAAGACTATCTAGTTAATAGCTTAATATCTAAATTAGATGAAGGAGTGATAAATAAAGAGCTCGAAATTAAGTCTCTCGATTATCTCTTAATCGAAATAACTAAATTGTAAGAATTATAAAAGAATATAGGGAATTAGTTAATATCTTAGCTTAATGTCAGCCTAAAATTAAGTAGTAAGATAAGTCGAGAAACTAAAAATATCTTTAACTCTCTATTCAATTCTCTAGAGAACGAAATAATTAACGAATTATTATACGAATTCTTAACTTACTTTCTCTTCTATATACTATATATAAATAGTTAATCTACTATTATATATAAATAAATAATAGACTTAGACTATACTAATTATATATTCTTTAATAAAAATAAATTTATTAATTATTAATTATATTATATAAATATTATAATAGCTAATAAAACTATTATTTAAACGTAAGATCGCGATATAGTCGAAATGAAATAGCTATTATCGAATAAATTTAGTAATATTATAAAAGTTAGTAAAGTCTTATATATTCTAAATCTTATATATAAACTATTTTCGATTAGTTAGACTATATAAAAAGAATTTAAAATTATCTTTCTTAGTAATAACTATTATATTCTTTAAAATAGTAAGCTTATTAATAGCGCTTCGAAGGTAAATAATATCTATATTCTCAGTATCTTATAATCTATAATTAAGGTTTTAATACTTATTTAGAAGAATATAAGAGTTTTAATAATAAGTTTAATATTTAATAAGAAAGCTATCGAGCTATAGTATCGTTAAATAAGATATTTAAATAAGATAAATCTTAAGAGATTAATTAATATAAGTAAGAGTATTATACTAATTTAGAAATCTCGAATTAAATTAATATATAAGATCTATTTTAAGACTAAATTTATATAAAAGATTTTAAAAAAAGTATAATATAAAGTACTCGAAAAATTTAATAAGATCTATATAGATTTAAGAGAATTTTTTAATATATTATTTATTAATAAGACTAAGTATTATATATTTCTAATTAATTAAATAACTTTTTAAATCTAATACTTTATATATAAGTATAAAAATAAGACCTTCAAATTATTTCGTAATTAGAAAACTTAGATAAAAAATAAATTCGATTATAAGATTAAGATAGTTTATTTAGATAATAATATCGAATTTATTAATAATAAATTTAAAGAATATTTTAAAAACTTCGAAATTATATAAGAGTCTATCGTATTCTATACGCCTAAGTAAAATAAATTTAGCGAGATATAAAATCGAATTATTATAAATAAAGTAAAGGCTATACTTTTTAACTCGAAGTTATCTTACTATTTATAATTAGAACTACTTTATATTAAAGTATATTAAAAGAATAGAAGTTCTACTACCCGCCTTTAGAGTATAATATTATATGAGATATAAATAGGCGAATAACCATACCTCGACTATATAAAGATTATCGACTATATTATCTAGATATATATATCTAAGAAAAAGTGTAAAAAGCTCGATAAACGTAATAAGAAGTGCTATCTAATTAATTACGAAGATATAAATATCTTTTAAATATAGAATCTAGCTACTCGATAAGTAAAACGATTCTTTTATATCGATTTTAATAAATTATAAATAATAATTACTGCGGTCTCGAATATTGACTATTAATTAGTCGAGATTATTAATAACGATATAATAGATATATTTAATATAGAAGATAACTCTATAATATATTAATATATATCTAAGACCGTTATTAATATCGATACGGACTCTATTAATATAAATAAAATTAGAATTTTTTTTTTAATGAAAATATTGAAGAAATCGAAGAAGTTGAAGATATAGAAGATAGTAATATAAGTCTAAAAGATCTAATAACGATAACGTTAAAGAGATATCTCGAGATAGCTTTATCGCTTACTTAGATCTATATCTTAATATAATATATAATTCTCGACTAAAACGAACTTCTATATCTTTTTAGAAAGTTCTTCTAAATAATAAATAGAGTAATACTAAGATATAGATCTAGAGAGTTATTATCTATATTAAGTATAATAAAATTCTTAAATTAAAATATCTATACTATAGATAAGCTATACTAAATTATAAAAATTTAGACTATTATAACTTCGATCTCATCTTCGATCTCGCTACTACTATTTAGTAAATAACTAATATAAGATATTAATAGACTATTACGAAGATTAACGATTTTAAGTTATTAATCTATAATTAGATAATAGCTAGCTTCTATATTAAATAATAAAAAAAGATTATAAATAAATAAATAAATTTCTTTACTATAATAAATATTTAAAAGCTTATTTCGAGAATAAAGGATATATTAATTTTTATTAATAGATAGATCTATAAGATAAAAAAGAAACTTAATAATTTTATTCTCTATAAAGCACGCTAAATAATTCGAGATTTTAAATAGATTTACGGCGTTAATTACGACTAAATCTTCGTCTTAATTATTAAATTTATATTATTTAAGATACTATTTATAATTATAATATACTATGATCTAAATTATAAGTAAATAGATATTATTATTATATTTCTTAATATACTATTAAAGAAAACTATCTATATAAAATAATTTAAAGAATATAAGAAGAAAGATAATAAGGTATATCTATTATTTAGAGTACTATATAGCTTAAAGCAGTCACTACGAGAATAGTACTTTACTTTATAATATTAATTATTATAATTTAATCTATTGTTATAGTATAAAATGTTAATTAATCTTATTCTTGCTATGTGTTATAAGTATTCTATCTTTATTATAAGACTTCCTTATATTTAAAGAATTTAAATCTATTAAATTCGATTACTTACTCTTTATTAATAAGAAAATACGACTTATCGTTAACGTATATATAGATAATATTTAGATTTATAATTTAAAAGAATTAAAACTAATATCGAAACTCAAACGAGATCTTTATAAACGATTCGCTATAATTAATCTCGAGCTATATTTATATTATTTAGATATAAAAATCTAAAGAAATCGAAGGGAGAGAATTATTCGAATTACGTAAACGACGTATTTAAGAAAGATACTATTACGATTTAATATAATTAATTATATATTTATCTCTATATTAATAATAGTAGATACTTAATTATAAGAGAAACTAATTAATAAGGTTAAATTAAAAGTTATTTAGAAGTATTAATTAATGATGGAATTAATAATATACCCTATAATTTAGACTTATTCGAATATCTATTTTATCGTTATAATTCTTTTACGATATAATTATAACTTAAATTTAAAATATATTATAGTCGTTAAATGAGTTATTCGTTATTTAAAGAGAATACTAACTTATGATATTATATATAAGATAATTAATATATTAAAAGGCTATACGAATACTAATTAAATCTTAAATTAAGAGACCCATCGATTTCTTAAAGTCTATATATTCTTACTCTACGGTGGGATAATTAATTAAACGTCTAAACGATAACAATCTATTATACTATTATCTTATAAGATTAAGTATATAGCTTAAACTTAGATAGTAAAGAAAGCTATTTAATTAATTAGACTTCTAAGCGAATTAGATATTAACTTCGAATTATTTAATAAACTAATATTAATTAAAGTAGATAACTAAAAAACTATTATATTAATTAAGAACTCTCGCTTTCACTTACGCATTAAGCATATTAATATTTAATAACATTTCATATAGAATTAAGTAAAAATAGAAGTAGTTATATTTAAATAAGTATTTACTAACGATATAATTGCGGATAAGCTTACTAAAGCCTTTATTAATAATAAATTTACTATATTTATATATTAAATTAGACTTAAGAAGAGTGGATAGAAGGAATAGCCCAAATTCGGATTATATGAGAGTGTTAAAACTAATAGTATTTTCAGCCATTATTTAGACTATATGGGAGTGTTAGAATCAGCTAATAGGAGGCCAGTATTTCTATATACTACTAAGTTTCAAATAGGTGTTGTAACTACGTCTTATAGTGGCAAATAGCCTTAGCGTGGCTTCACACCATAGATAGGTAGTCACCTCCATCCTTACTACATACTTCTTCATAGAACATGACAATGAACAACTATGCTTCATGATATGAGACCATTGAGTGCATACCAATGGCTTATCCCGAAGCCGACACTCTGAATACTCAGATAGCGGCTGACGTCGTATGACAGCGACCCGTCAGTCGAATTTTCAACCGGAAACAAAGCTACTCTGCAATCAGGGCTGTCATCTATGGAAGATTTTAGCACGGCCAGAAGGGAGTTGAACGACACCTACCTCGAGTCCAAAACTTGGGGATGTCTACCCTATTCAACCACTGAAGGTTTGTAACATCATCTGGATGTTCAAAACCAGCTGGAGCGAAGCAGTGGGAGGCTCCTCGCTCTTGCCGGGAACCAGTGAAGGCGTTCAGTATCCTGCGGCAGTTGTAACCGTTCGGATGGCCACATATCATGCTGCAATATAGATTAGCGATAGCGAGAGCTATAAGAGATATCAGGATCCTGATACTAGCGTTTAGAGTGAGACACATAATGAGGGCAGCAGTACAAATCTGGTTACCTTGACATGATGTCTGAGCACGCAGATAACCAAATGACAAGAGGTGAGTGGATCGTGGGGGAATTCTGTCACATATCTTAGTGCTCGCAAACAGTGAGGCCATACAGAAATGACGTATGTATAAGTAGATATGTAGATATATAATTAAGTATATCTAATGTTAAAGTAGCTAAAATCTTTCTAAATTTAAAAATAATTTAAAAAAAACTCTTTAACGCTAGAAAAACTTTTATATTAAAATAATATACTTTAAAGTAAGAATAAAGCTATATATAGATATAAATAAGAGAGAGAATAATAATATAACTTTAAAAGAGAATAATTTAAATAAAGAGCTTATTATTAATATAATAATTATATAAATAATACTCGCTATAATTACTTATTTCTCTATTATTATATATCGTATAATAATAAAATAATTAATTAAATAATTATTAACGCTATAGTCTTATAATAAACTTATTAATTTATAATTCTACTATTACGAGTCTTATAATTCTCCGCTATTATCTTCGTATTAAGATATTATATATTATCGTATATATTAAAAAGTAGTAAAATTAGCTCGACTTTATTTATTTTACTTTCTTATTCTTTCTCTCTTATTATTTATATCGTTCTTTTCTAAATTTTATATTCTTATTTATCTTAATATATCTTTATAGCGCTTTATTAACTATAAGTACGATATATAAATAAAAAAAGTAGAAAATAGTTAATAGAGAATTTTTAAATTAGTAAATTGTTAGTATGAGAATAATTAATAGAGAATAATTAAAACGATAGATTATAGATTATATTAGAATTTAATATATTAATTAATATTATATTATATTATATCGAGAATTTCTATCTATTATAAATAAGATTATTATATTCTAAGATTATATATTATATTAAAAGTTTAAAGATAATAGTAATTAATATCTTATCGCTAGAAGTTTTTTGAATTTTATCTATAATTTGAGAAACTAGCTCGAGATTTTAAATTTATCGAATATACTACTTATACTTAAGACTATCTAAGACTATCTTAAGTCGATTTTATAACTTTTTAATTTTAAGTATTATTCTATACTATTTAAATATTATATTCGATATTAAAGTATATTTTATTATTTAAAATTTTTAAAGTTTAGAATCTTAGACTATAAGTAAAAGAACTTTAAAAATATATTTTTTAATATTATCTCGAATTCGATCTCGAAATTAAGCGATTTAGATAATTTTCTTATAAGAATATTATCGATAGCGATCTCGAGAACTATTATATATACTATTATTAATAATTAAGAGTATTATATTACTACGAGTAAAGGTACTATAAAATTTAAATTTATAATTATTTCTTTTAATTAGAGCTAATCGAGTAAATTTAATAGAGCTCGATCTTTAATTAAGCGAACTTTAATAAGCGATATTTGAATTCCTTACGCTTTAATAATTATAAGACTAAATATAGAAATCTCTTTTTTACTTTAAAAGCTCACATTTTATTCTATAATTCAAAAAAAAATCTTAAAAATTCTAATTAGAAAATAAAAATGTTATTTCTAAAATTAAATAATATACCCTCGTTTTTTAATTAGAGCTATCGAGCGAACTTTAATAAGCGATATTTAAATTGCTGATTACTCTATTAAAAATAGATGTATAAGGCTTAATTTTAGCAATTTTTTTTTCTCTAAAAGCTTATATTTCGTTCTATAATTTAGAAAAAGATCTTAAAAATTTGATAGAAAATAAAAAAGTTATTCTATATATTAATTATATATATATATATTTTTTAAATTAGAGCTATTCGACTATCGAGCGAACTTTAATAAGCGATATTTGAATTCTGATGCTGCGCTTAAAATAATTATAAGACTAAATTTAAAATTTTACTCGTTTTTTATCTAATAATCTTATAATTCGTTCTATAATTACTAACAAAAATCTATATTAAACTTTTAATAGAAAATAAAAAAGTTATTCTATAGTATTATTAATATTATATCTATTTTTTTAATAAGAGAGATATATAAAGAAAGAGATTTTAATAATTACGAATATTAATTTATTTAATCGCGATAACTTAGTCGATCTAATTATATAGAGCGTTTAGCGAACTTAAATTTATAATTAACTATATATATAAATTTAAGATTTTTAAGCTATAGCTCTATCTTATTCTATTATATATACTAATATTAATGAGAATTCTTAATATTTCGAAGTCTTAAGAAGTATTATTTCGTATCTCGATAACTTTAACGAGTTATCGATTAAATCTCGAGAGCTTAATATAGTAATTAAAGTTACTCGATATATCGCTAAAATAGTCTAAGTACTATAACTAATTATTATATCGCCTCTATATACGCTCTAGACTATTCTATACTATTAGAATTAGATTTTATAAATTACTAATATTTTTAGCGAACGTAAGAGAATTTCTTAGTAAATTATATACGTTATTACTCTTATTTATCTTATTATAAAATAGCTTATAATTCGATATCTATAGAGAGTATATAATAAATAATTAGACTATCTTATCGCTAATAATAAACTATATAGTAGCTCGAAGAGATATCTTTAGAATTCTAGTATTAAAAGAGTTTTAATATTTATATAATATAGATCTAAAGTAGAAATATAGCTATATATATTTATAGAGGAAGAGATAGACGAGTAAAGAAAAGATTGCGGTGACTCTAAGAGAGATGAGTTGATTGACGAGTAATTGCAGGTTGGGAATTTGTATGTGGATTTTGCTTTGTATACTGTCTGTCGCTATGGCTATGGGCTATGGCTATGCTTGGAAGTATGGTGTTTCGAACCATGTTTCGAACCCATGCATGAAGGCACGGAAACAAGAAGTACGTTGATATGCGATATGTGGAATCACTTACCCCCAGTCCTATTGTGGCGAAGGGGGGTGGTGTTGAAGCAGAGGGGTTAGGCGTGATTCTGATGGTTTCTGTCTTTTTGAAAGACTTTTTGCATCACCATAGGGTAGCCAGCCGTTTAATTATCTCCAGTACTGAACTCATTTGAAATTGAGAAGAGCTACAGGCCCTCAGTGCAGGAATCCATAGGGTGACGAGGAGAGCTCGTACACAGCCTGCTTTGTCTATAATTCAAGGCGACTTCGTACCCAGGCACACGGCTCTTTCGGGTGAGATCGTTGACAATTGGATCTTAGAACCGCACGCGGTCTGATCTCTCTCTCTTCAGGGGTGAAATAGGTATCGAGTGTGTTGTATTAGCTCAGACACAGGAATTCGATTAACGTTGCTTCTGAAGTAGGTGATCATGTTCACCGGATAGCAAACTCTCGTTTATTCTCCTTCCTCGTCAATTGCGATAGAGGATGACCTTCCTCCACGAACCCATTCACATAGCTTTCCCCAACAAACTCAAAGTAGCTTCCCCTGGGTCTCAGAACAAAGGGCGTAGAGCTATTCCCTAAAAAGCACACCGCGTCCCCCGCCCTCGCCTCGCTAGGTGCCAAACCAAGGTTGTGCTGAGCGGTAGCGAACAGTCTTCTGCCAGTGCAAGTCTCCGTCATGGTACGGTCAAACTCACTGCCTTTTTCGTTTTCGTCTGGGAGGTTCGTGAGTGGCTTGTATCCTCCAAGGCGTCGAGTGAGCAGGTTCTGCCACGCCTCGTATGCAGAATGAAGCTCTTCATCCGAAGTGATCCCTGGAAGGCGCTCGCCTGCGAGAAGAGTCCGCCTGTAAAGCTCTGTGGAACACCTGCCGTCTGGAGGAATCGTTTCCTCTACAAATTCGTCCCATCCGACGAGGAGGCCAGATTCGTGGCGCGCGAAGACATTAGCCACGGTTGCGATAGAAGCTACGCACCAACCTTCTACCGTTAGAGTTCGATAATCGTCCGAATACCTCACCTGTTGACGAGGTGCGTCGGGTGCTCTCACTGTGGACTTGCCAAGTTTACTCTTTACGGCCACTTGGGCTTGCCAGTCAGGTACCCAAGAGGGCAACGTAGCTATGTTTTTGGGATGAGAAACGCAGCATAGAATATCAAGGTTTCCAAACTCAAGGATCAAGAATTGGGTCGTGTGCAGGTAGACATCTTCAACCTTCGCGGAGTAAGCAGGCTGCAAGACCAGTGCCTTGGCTAATCCAAGCATGGCGAAGACTTTATCTCTAGGGTCAGTGCAGTTGAAACGATAAGACATGAACAGCGCATCCACGATATTATTACCCTGGCCGTGATCATTGCGATGGAATTCCATAATTGCAGCAACAGCATCATGAGCGTTTTCGGCGTCCGAGGGCAACTGACCCATTTGATAACTACTAGCGGCAGCAAGAAGATCCCAATCTATCACATGTGGGCCGCAATGGACCACTGCATGACGAGCAAGTGCAACTTCCTGTACGATCCAGGACCGGCGGAAGTATGGGCGACTGAAAATCCTAGAAAGAGCAATCCAAGCGGGAGACCCAAGAATCGGAAGTGCCTGCCTGGCGACAAGACCTTGCCGCGCGACTCCTCCATAGCTCGCAGACAAAGGTGGTAGATGTGACAACAAGACTGGTACGAAGCGGAATGCCATTTCATCATCAGGTCCCTCTTCTCCAAGCCAAATGACGACATTTTCCGCTTTTGAGTAGATCTTGCGCATCAAAGCCACTTGCTTGTTGCGCTCGTCGACATCGTCCTGGTTGATGCAAATCTGGTCAATCCACAATGCGCGAGTTTTAGCAGGATTTCGTAGCTGAAGTAAGGCTGCAGCCAAATTTGCGGTGATGGCAATGCTTTCCGAGCCGCAGGAGATGCTGCATTCCTTTTTGGAGTCTCCCCAGGTGTATGACAGCGCTTCGTACGGGGACACCGTCTCCAATTTCACGTTTTCTTGGACTTGGATGGACAGAGCATCGTTCCTTGTCCCTACATCGAGATGTACGAGCCGAATATGTGCATCTTGGAGTAGACTGTAGTGGAAAGGCTGGGTTGTGAGGGGGTTCCCAACAACAGCAGGTAGCGAATCCTTAAGGTCTATCATTTCCGTTCTAGAAACGTATGCATAAGCCGATCAGGTATGGGTATTTGGTCTGCAACTTATCTTCGGACAGTCCCCCTCCGACAGTCCCCCGTCTATACTAATGTAGCCTCCTACGCACGATCTACATATTAAACTTTTAACCCTTAAATTATCTAATTAAGATAAAAAACTACGTTAATTCTATATATTATACGAGTAAAGGCCTATGAATTAAATTTATAACCATTCTTTTTGATTAATGTTATAGGACTGTCGAGTAAATTTGATAAGCGAAGCTGCGAACTTTTGATAGGCGATATTTAAATTCGTTGCCTTTAAATATCTATAAGACTAAATTTAATAATTGATTTTTTATCTGAAAGCCCATATTTTATTCTATAATTTAAAAAAAAAATCTTAAAATTTTAATAGAAAATAAAAAAGTTATTCTATATATTAATAATATATATCTATTTTTTAATTAAGACTGTTCGGCTATTAGCGATCTTTGATAAGCGAACTTTAGTGAGCGATATTTGAATTCCTTACGCTTTAATAATTATAAGACTAAATTTAGAAATTCTTTTTTTATCTAAAAGCTTATATTTTATTCTATAATTTAAAAAAAAATATTAAAATTTTAATAGAAAATAAAAAAGTTATTCTATATATTAATAATATATATCTATTTTTTTAATAAGGGAGAGCGTAGAAGAGTAAGATTTTAATAGTTATAGATATTAATTTATTTATTCGTAATAATTTAGTCGATCTAATTAAAGAGCGTAGCGAGCTCGAATTTATAATTAGCTATATATATAAATTTAAGATTTTTAAGCTTAACTCTATCTTATTCTATTATATATACTAATTATAGAAAATTAAATTAAATAAAATTATTATTAATAGCGATAATATAATAATAATAAAAAGTTTATATTAGAAAAATTTATTATTAAATATTAAAATTTATTAATTTAAAAGTATAAAATAAAAGCTAAATATAAATTAATTAATAATATTTACTTATTTAAAACGTTTTCTATTAAATTAATTATTTAATAAATTAAATATCTAATAAATTAATTATTAATAAATATTAAAAAATAGATAATTATTTTATAAGTTTAAAATCTAAATAAGAATATTAATTATATTATAAATTTACTAATAAAGATTTATAAATTAAATTTATAATCTTTTTTTAATTAGAATTATCGAGTAAATAGATAAGCGAAGTTTAATAAGCGAACTTTAATAAGCGATATTTAAATTCCTTACGCTTTAATAATTAGAAGATTAAATTTAAGAATTTTTCTCTCTTTAAAAGTCTATATCTTATTCTATAATTTAAAAAAAAAATTTAAAATTCTATATCTATAAATCTAATTATAATTTAAAATTTCTTTATAAAAATTTTAAAATAAAATTTAATTTCTATTATTTAAATTATTTTAAATTATTTAATCTATATTTATAAATCTAGTTATAATTTAAAATTTCTCTATAAAATTTTTAAAATCTAATTTAATTTCTATTATTTCTATTATTTTAAATTATCTAAATATCTTATATAGTATAATTATTAATATAGTTATTTAATAGTAAATAAAATTTAAATTTAAAGATCTTCGAAATTAAATTTAAGATTTATTTTTATTAAAAAAAATAAAATTACTTTAATATAATATTCTTATAATATATATTAGAATTTAATATTATATATTTATTTATATATATTAGAATTTAATATTATATATTTATTTATATATATTAGAATTTAATACTATATATTTATTTATATATATTTAAATTTAATATTATATATTTATTTATATACGCTTAAATTTAACGTTATATATTTATTTATATACGCTTAAATTTAATATTATATATTTATTTATATATATTTAAATTTAATATTATATATTTATTTATATACGCTAAAATTTAATATTATATATTTATTTATATACGCTAAAATTTAATCTTATATATTTATTTATATATATAATATTATATATTTATTTATATACGCTAAAATTTAAAATTATATATTTATTTATATATATTAAAACTTTATATTATTAATATTAAAATCTATTCTTCTTTATATAAATTATAATATACTTTCTTTTATATTTATTAATTATATATATTAAATCTTAATATTATATTAATTTAATATATAATATTATTAAATATTATAATTTTTTATATATAATTTTAATTTAACTTTATTAATTTTAAAATAAATTTAAATAAAAAACTTTATTAAAATTTAATTTTTTAATATATTATTTAATATATAATATTTATACTTTATATATATATAATTATATAATATAGTCTTTTTTAAATTTTTTAAAAAAAGTTAAATAAATAATTAAATAAATCTTTATTAAATTAAAAGTTATAATATAATAATTAAAAAATAAATTTTTATTTTTATTTTATTAAAATTTTTAGTTAATTTAGCTATAATAGCGATATTAATATTTAAAAATATTATATATCTTAATAAATATATAATATTATATAAAAAAAATTTATAATATATAATTCTTAAGATAATTATTATAATATTTATTAAATTAATAATATAATATTTAAAAAAAAAATCGTAATCTTACTAATTAATTTATTTCTTTAATTAAATATTATAATTTTTCTCTATTTTTTTAAATAATTAAATTTATAAAAGTTATTATAATAATATATATAAATAAATAAATAAATAAAATATTATCGCGATAATATATATAAATAATTAAATAATTAAATTTATAAAGATTAGAGCGAAGAGTAAAGTAGAGATAATTTATTTTTTTAAATTTATAGTTTCTCTCTTTTAATATACGCTATATAATAAAATAAATAAGAGATATTAATTTTTATATTTAAATATTTTTTAATATAAAAAAAATATTAAGATTTTTTATAAATAAAATAATAAATTATTATATATAAATTTTTATTATTAATTATCTTTTTAATATAAAAGTAATATTTATTATTTTTTATTTTATTTATTATTTATTAATAATATATATTTCTTATATAAATTAATTATCTTATCGCTAGCGAGTAAATTATTTATTTTTACTTTTAAAAGAGTAAATAAAATTAAAAAAAAAATATTTAAAGAGTTAAGTATAGAGAGCTATTTATTATAAGATATCTTAGAAATACTTATAAGGCTACTAGCGTAGACTTAATATCGTATATATTTATTCTATAGACTATATAGATAATTATTATCTTTTATATTATATTATATATATAATTTAAACTATAATAATTTCTTAATAATTAATAGTAATATCTAACTCTATTTCATAGAATATTTAGACGTTTTTTTTAGACGTTTATATAAAGCTTATATTAATATCTAATAGTATAACGCTTTAAGTCGAACCTTTAATATACTCGCGTTATCGAGTATCTTTTAATATTATTTAAATCGATTCTTTTAATAGATCTATCGATATTATAATAAACTTATACGCTATAAGACTTATCTTATTTACGTTATAGTTATATATATATTTAAGTACCTCTACTATAGTCTGTACTAACTTTCGTCGAGAATATAACCCTACTTTTTTATCCTCTAATCTTACTATATACTTACTATACGATCTTAATCCTTATAACTAATATAATAACGATAGTTTATTCAATTTTCACACTACTCGATTATCGAAGTATCTATTTATATATATAACATAGTAGAAGAAGAAGTATCGAAATTAGAAGACTCGCTAGTAATATAAGAGAAGGTCTCTATAAGTATTATCTATCTCGTTAGCTTATTAATTTACTTAGTTAGCTACTTAGCTAGTTACTTAATCTAATATTCTATAAAAGAAGAAAATACTATAGTAGATAATTGCGGAGAATACTGCGGAGAAACTAAGCGATAATAAGATTACTATTAATAAGAATACGGCTTAGCTCTTAATAATCTCACGTTATATGCTCTTTACGATTTCATATTAAATTATTACTTAGTAAATAAAGAATATCATTATAATTTAATCTACTATCTCTGCGTACCTCGGTTATATTATATTAATATAGTATATTACTAAAATAACGTTATAAGAGAAGAATCTACTACGTTAATTATAGCTAATTAGATAATTATTAAAGAAAGATTAGAAGAAAGATCGAATAATGTACATTTAAACGAATTGAAATCGTTCGATATCTTATTTCGACAGTTATTTCATTATTCGAAAGCTTTTACTGCGATAGAAGAACTCGTAAAATTTATATCACTAATTAGTCTAGTATCTTTATTTTTTTTTAATATTTCGAAAACTCATTCATATATATATACTTCTTATTATAAGAATATAACATTTCTCTATTTTTTATAGATAGTTATTATAAGATATCTTAGAGATACTTATAGGGCTATTAGCGTAGACTTAATATCGTATATATCTATCTATAAATTATATAGATTAATTAATATCTTTTTATACTATACTATATATATGATTTAAATTATAATAATTTCTTAATACTATTATTCAATTTTAATATTTAATAATTAAGATAAAGAAAGCTTTACTCTTAAGAGAGTAAAATAAAAGAAAAAAAGATATTAATAAAGAAAGAAGAAGAAGAGTCGTCGAAAAGAGAGAAAATTAATTTATTATTACTAACGAGTAAAGGCCTATAAATTAAATTTATAATCATTTTTTTAAATTAGAGTTATCGAGTAAATTTTAATAAACGATCTTTAATAAGCGATATCTAAATTTCTTATCTTTAAATATCTATAAGATTAAATTTAGTAAACCTTTTTTTTATTTAAAAGCCTATATTATATTCTATAATTTAAATAAAAAAATTTAAAACTTTAATAGAAAATAAAAAAGTTATTCTAAAATTAAATAATATATATCTATTTTTTAATTAAAGCTATCGAGCGAACTTTAATAAGCGATATTTAAATTTCTTACTTATTAATAATTATAAGATTAAATTTTAAAATTCTTAAAAATTAG